CTATTATAATTTTTGACCCCTCAGCTCAACACCCTGTGCAAGGGAACTGTCCACCCAGGGGTCAGGAACCTTTTTCAGCCGTGGGCCAGTCCACCGTCCCTCAAACCATGTGGTGGGTTGGACTATTTTTTTGGGGAATTAACAAATTCCTATGCCGCACAAATAACCCAGAGATGCATTTTAAATAAAAGCACACATTCTACTTCTGTAAAAACACACTGATTCCCGGACCATCTGCAGGCCGGATTTAGAAGGTGATTGGGCCGCATCCGGCCCACAGGTCTTAGGTTGCCTACCCCTGGTCTACACTACCCTAAATCTGGTGTTGATGTTGTGGTATACAAATAAACTTAGTGTTGAATTCAACTAACTTTTACTTAGAGTAGTCCCACAGACACTAATATAACTTAATCACTGACATTAATTTCAGTGGTTTAGCAGAGTAAAAGTTATTCAAATATAATTCATTATAATTCATTTGTTTTTAGATTTTCTAAGAGACAGTACACAATTAAAATACAAAAACCCAACTTTTAGAAAAGATCTGAAGGCAGTCCTGTATCCAGAGGTTTTTGATGTTTTATTTTGTTTTAAATGTGTTGGAAGCTGCCTAGAGTGGCTGCGGTGACCCAGCCAGAAGAGCAGGGCATAATAATAATAATAATAATAATAATAATAATAATAAACAAATACTTATTTCAACACTTTTATAAACTGATTCACACCATGGTTTCTGTGGTTTTTGTGCAATGAAGTTACAAAAAATATAGAAAAGATATAATCAATTTAAATTAGCCATAAAACCAGAAAATGACTTTGAAACATGTCTCTCTACAAAGTCCATGAGTTTCTGGTGGTTTCTCATCCATGTCCCTTCTGTTGATAAAAGACCTAAACTTTTGCCCCACACCTTCAGATTTCTCTCTGTTGTCTTTTTATGCTTTCTTCAGTGGCATTGTTGATTTTTCAAGGAATGCAATGTTCCAAGAATGTCAGCACCAAAGCTCTGTGGGGACGATGTCTGTGCACTTCCCACAGAATCATAGCATTTTCAAAGTTTGGTTGGCTTTACAGCACCACAGCACCTACACATATGCTCCAACATTTCTCTGATTACTGAGCTCCCGTTGCTCGGTCCCTGCTCCTGCCAACCTAGCAGTTCAAAAGCACGTTAAAGAGCAAGTAGATAAATAGGTACTGCTCCGGCAGGAAGGTAAACGGTGTTTCCATGCACTGCTCTGGTTTCGCCAGAAGTGACTTAGTCATGCTGGCCACATGACCTGGAAAAACTGCAGACAAACGTTGGCTCCCTCAGCCAGTAAAACGAGATGAGCGTCGCAAGCCCAGAGTTGTTCACAACTGGACTTAACTGTCAGGGGTCTTTTACCTTTACCTTTTATTCCATAACAACAACTTTATTATTTATACCACCCACATGACTGCGTTGCCCCAGGCACTCTGAGTGGCTTCCAACATACTGTATATAAAAACATAACAAAGCATTACAAGAATTCCCTATACAGGGCTTCCTTCAGATGTCTTATAGCTATTTATCCCCTTGGCTTGGGGGTTGCATAACTCCATACCCTCCAAAATTTCTCCAATGAAAATAGGGACGTCCTAAGGAAAAGCCCTGCTTCTTGGGAGAAAAGCAATGACAAACCTAGACAGCATCTTAAAAAGCAGAGACATCACCTTGCCAACAAAGGTCTGTATAGTTAAAGGTATGGTTTTCCCAGTAGTGATGTATGGAAGTGAGAGCTGGACCATAAAGAAGGCTGATCGCCGAAGAATTGGTGCTTTTGAATTATGGTGCTGGAGCAGACTCTTGAGAGTCCCATGGACTGCAAGAAGAGCAAACCTATCCATTCTTAGGGAAATCAGCCCTGAGTGCTCACTGGAAGGACAGATCGTGAAGCTGAGGCTCCAATACTTTGGCCACCTCATGAGAAGAGAAGACTCCCTGGAAAAGACCCTGATGTTGGGAAAGATGGAGGGCACAAGAAGAAGGGGACGACAGAGGACAAGATGGCTGGACAGTGTTCTCGAAGCTACCAGCATGAGTTTGACCAAACTGCGGGAGACAGTAGAAGACAGGAGTGCCTGGTGTGCTCTGGTCCATGGAGTCATGAAGAGTCGGACATGACTAAATGACTAAACAACAACAACAAGGAAAAGTGGGACATTCTGGGATCAAATCAGAAATGGGGATGGCTTCTGTAAATCTGGAGCTGCCCCTGGAAAATAGGGGCACTTGGAGGGTCTGTGATAGCAGAGCACCTACAGGCTCCAGAGACAAAGAAACAAGCAAGCCCCTTTATGGAAGGAGGGATTTAGGCCAGGGATGGAAAACCTGTGGCCCATCATCACTGACCACTGGTCATACTGGCTGGGGCTTATAGGAATTAGAGTTCGGCAACATATGGAGGTGCCACAGATGTTCTTCTTCTCAAAAAAGAGAAATAGGAGTGTTTCAGTTTGAAAGTAATAAAGAAGACCTGGGTTTGTATCCCCACTCATTTCACTGGGTGACCTTGGGTCAGCCACAGTCTCTTAGCCTAATGTACTTCACAGGGCTGGTGAAGGGAAAAGCCATGTACATTACCTTAAGCTCCATGGAGGAGAAGTCAGGTATACATGCAATAATAAACAAATAAAAGTGAAAAATACGAAGGAGAAGGAAACAGAAAGCATTTAAAATTAAGAAGATAGTGTTTTGCATAGCATCTTAGACCCTGGATCTTTGCCTTATTCCAAGTTGTAAACATATAATTGAACTAACCTTTGTTCCTATTACCTTTTGCGTATGAAAATGGAATCGTGGCAAATGAACTTTGTGTCAGCCAGCACATTTGCTGTGTAATGTAAGATCTTGTGCCCTTTTGCCTCTCGTTCACTATATGTTATCTGTGTCATTGTTCAATTTCTATAATTTTAAAAGACATTCTTTTTTTTTAAGTTAAGAGACAGTGGCTCAGCCTGTTCATTTATAAACAAAGAGGAAGTGGTCAAGGCAATTCTGCTTCTTCATTTCAGTGCCCAAATGGGGGGTTGGGAGTAATTAAATAGAACTTTCGAGTGGTTATTGTAAGACTTAATCAGATTATTGGTCTGACAATGGAGCACTAAAACTAAATAGGTTAATTGTTTTAGACAAACAAAAATAATCAGATTGTGGAAACCACCCCCACCACTATGAATAATGATTTAAAAATAACTTAAAACCTCCCTCTCCCAGAACATTGGACTTTCTTGATTAGGAGGGAAGAGAACTATTTGATGTATTATATCACAATCCTATGCATGCATTTAATGGGGTTTATTCCCAGGTAAGTGTGTATGTGATTAGATGATCAATCATGTCAAAGCACTGCCTTCCCCCCCCAAAAAACGCTAGGCTTTGATAAACGTTCACACCATCAGACTGGAATAACCCAAGAAGAAAATGAACGTATCTGTTTCCTCTATATTTCTGCTTTACAAACCCTATCCAATTAGGAGCCAGAAACAGACTCTTAAGGCAGCTGTATATTTGATTAGCTTTAAAGAAGGATTCAAGACAGTACTCTATTTTCCTGCTTTGTTTAGAGATGGTGAGCTGCCTGCCTCCTCTCTTTCCTGGGCTGATGGAACCTCAAATGAAATTTTGTTCTAGTCCTATCAAAATGTGTTATAAGAAATAGAGACCCCTTAAATCTTTCTACTGGAATATTATTTAAATGTCCCTATATGTAATATTCCCTTCATGGATCACTGCCTTGCCATGGCGAAGGGGCTTGAATAACTCAGAGAAGCTATGAACTATGCCATGCTGGGCCACCCAAGATGGACCGGTCATAGTGGAGAGTTTGGACCAAACGTCATCCACCTGGAGCAGGAACCGGCAAGCCACTCCAGTATCCCTGCCAAGAAGACTCCATGGACAAAGACAACAGGCATATCAAAGTTATGACGCTGGAAGATGAGCCCCTCAGGTCGGAAGGCGTCCAACATGCTACTGAGGAAGAGCGGAGGACAAGGACAAGTAGATCCAGAGCTGATGAAGCGGCTAGGCCAAAGCCGAAAGGACGCTCAGTTGCGGATATGCCTGGAAGTGAAAGGAAAGTCCAATGCTGTAAGGAAAAATATTGCATAGGAACCTGGAATGTAAGAACAGGAGTGGCTGGCGTGCTCTGGTCCAGGGGGTCATGAATTGTCGGACACGACTAAACGACTAAACAACAAAAACAACAGATGTAATATGCACAGATGTGCTCAACGGGGCCAGCTTTATTATGCCCCTGGACACTCCCAGAGTCCTTGAGGCTTTTCAAATGACTAAAAAGAGATCTGGAGGATGGATGGCGGCTAACGGTTTGAGGTTGAATCCTTTCTTTTTTTTTAGATGATATTTCTTAAAATTTCAGAGAATACAAGAATTACACAAAAACAAAAAGTAAAAATACAAGAAAATACAAAATACAGAAAAAAGAATACATGAAAAATAAAAAGGAACATACAAAATAAAAACAATTAAAAACACATTAATTTTCCCTAGCATATCCTCCTTACACTTATTTCCCCGGACCTCCTCGTACCTCCCTTCTTTGTATTCCAGTTCAATTTGTTAGCTCAGCAAATCCTTACCATTAAGCTTTTACCCATTTGTGAACCTTTTTTTCATATCTCTTAAAGCATTACAGCTGGAAACCACTTAGTTTCTATCCAACATCCTTCTAAGATTCATTAATTTTACAATATTTCTGTAAATAGTCTTTAAATTTCTTCCAGTCCTCTTTCACCGACTCTTCTCCCTGGTCTCGGATTCTGCCAGTCATTTCTGCCAATTCCATGTAGTCAATCACCTTCATCTGCCACGGTTTGAGGTTGAATCCTGACAACACAGAAGGACTGTTTTTTTGGGGGGGGGGGCTGGACTCGCTGGTTCTGGACCGGCAGCCGCGCCTTTGAAAAGCCAACACGCCCTTCTCCAAACCATAGAGCATGGGCTCCTAGATGGTCTCGAGGACGTGGGCGTGCCCGCAGCGCCCCAGGGGCGGGGCTTCTCGCCTGCGTCACGCGCCTGTGTTTGTATCTGCGCGTGTTTGGGGGCGCGGAGGGCGCTTCCGGCTGGCGGAGAGGAGAAGCAGCGGCGGCGAGGCGCCACCATGCCCGTGAGTGGGTGCCAGTCTGAAGGCGGGCGGCGCGGCGAGGGTTAATGGGGGAAGGGGGCAGAAAGAGGAGAGGACCCCCCTCGGCTCTGCCGGTCGGGGGGCGGCTTGTCCCATTGCCGAACAGGAGAGAAGGGGTGTGCGGGATGTTCCACTCTGTTTATGGGCGGGGGTGGAGCAGGACGTTTACGGTGCTGGAGGGTGGGGGGGTGTAAAAAAGAAAAGAAAAAGCACTTATTCTACTTTCTGCGCACCCTCGTAGCAGTTATAGCCACACACAAACACTTCGCCACGATCAACGCCTCCGCCCCCATGACAGGTCGTATGCATTGATCCCAAACCCATCATCAGACCCATGCCCTTTCCCCGGAGAGGAATTCCCGGTGCCCACGGACTCCTGGCCACAGGCCAGCTGCGAAACCAGGCAGCTCTTTCTGCCTCCCCACCACCACACGCTTCCCCTTTAATGCGATGTGCCATATGGATTCCTAGCCAGGGTGCAGCTGTTAACTCTTTACCTGGGGATGGATACTGGGCAGTGCGTGGATCACTCTGGTGGAAGCACCAGAGCTCCCTGGAGTCTCAAAATTAAGTGTCAGAATAGGGGTGCATATAGGTGGAATATAGCTACATAACTGAGCAGATGGCCTGGTAGTGTGGGGTGGCCCCCTTTCACTTTGGCATCTAGCTCAGGTATTTTACAGTTTTCTAGTCTGCTTTTTAGTTTAATTTTACCATCCTGCATTTTGAGGCACTTGGTGCAGACAGATGGCAATCTTCAAAGTCCTTTTCCTTAGAGTCAGCTTATTCCTTTCATCATCACCACTCACAGGCACCTACTGGTGTTACAGTGGCTAATTTTAGAATCCACAACAGGCTGTCCAAGGAGAGACATCTCTCTCTTACACACACACACACACACACACACCCAGCACCTTTTAGTTATTCAATGCACTCTTTCCAGGATCTGGGACTCCTTCTGTTTACAACCAAGTCAATATAGTATTGAGCAAATGCAGCACACAACGGCTGTTGCCATATGGCGAATACTCTAACCCAGTGGTTCCCAATTAGCTAATTACTGAGGACCCCCTATTTTTCAAAAGCCAATGATAGTTACTTTTACAAAGCAATTTTCTGAACAAAATATGGGGTAGCATCTAATAAGCAAAGGATTCTAGGTATACTAAAAACCAGACTAGAGCTGAGCGATACCTAGTTTTCAACATCGTGGTATATCAGCAACTAAGCATCACAATATTCCAATATATCACAATGTCTGAAATGGGAGATTAGCGTGGGGGAGAAGGGAAGGGGCAGCCGTGGTGATAGGATGGGTGGAGGGAGGAGAGCAAATGGAGTCACATCAAGCTGCCTTCAGCGAAGATGCACATCCACTGTGGCTACTCCTGCTTTCCTGCTGGCTAGCTCCGCCTCAATGCCAGGGGAAGGTAGTGCCATGGTGCCTTGAAGTGAGGGTGATAAGTTGCCCTGTTCTAAAATCAGCAGCAGTTATCAGCAGCATTATCAGCTGAGAGCTTTATGTGATATCGAGAGTACCTTGATATATTGCTATGTATTGTCAGGTCAAAATTCTTATCGCACTGTGATTTCAAAACCAATTTTGGCCAATATATTGAAAAATTGCACAGCGCTAAAACAGACCATAAAGTTTGTGTTATTGCCATACAAAAATAACACAAATTTAGTTGGAGCGGCAAGGAATGGGGCCGCAGACCCCCTGGGTGCGTTCTCCGTGGAGCCCTAATTGGGAACCACTGCTCTAACCCATAAGAGGAGTGTTCTTGTGATGTTAGTTTTTGGTGGAAAAGGTGGGAAGAGGTAAGCAGAGGCGGCAGTGGGCACAGGCTGGATGCCATTGTGGATTGTAGAGTGAGGAGTAGAAAGATCAGGCTTGGGGATCTTTGGGTCCCCAACTGTTGTTATGGGGGATTGTGCCCTGTGTTGCTACCATTTGGATTTTTGTGGCTTGGGCACCTAAATGGTTTGGGAGAACCCTGAGAGAAATACCCAACATAGGTGGGCTAGGATTAGGGAGACCAGGGTTCAAATTCCCACTCACTGGGGCTGAAGCTCACTGGGTGACCTTGGGACAGTCACTGCCTCTCAGCCTAACCTACCTCACAAAGTTGTTGTGGGGATTAAATGTATGCCACCTTGAGCCCCTTGGAGGAAAGGTGGGATATAAATGAAATAATCCTTGCAGGGAAAAGCGAGATATATAAAAACCAACAACTATAATTAATAATATTCAGTAGAAAACACCTCTTTCAGCAAAGTTAGCAAACTCTGCTTTGTTGTACTCATGGCAATAACTCCTTAATATCTCACACAGCTGACCAGAGACTTAATTCACCCATCCCTAGAGGAGGAAAAGAGAAAACACAAAAAGAAACGTCTGGTCCAGAGTCCAAATTCCTACTTCATGGATGTCAAGTGTCCAGGTAACTATTCTTTAAAGTGTTCTTTCCTGTAAAGGACCACAGAAAACTTGTAGTAAGACAGCTTTTGGCAATCTAGTGTTCCAAAACATCTGGAGGATTGGCAAAGACTGCAATAAGAGATAATGGCCTGCCACTTGAATTTGCATATTAACCTCTTCTCTTCTGGAGTAAAAGTACTGCGAAGGCACATGCAGTGGATCTGTGTAATTTTCTTCATTACTTTTATCATTTATCGGTTCCCGGGAATAAAAAAGAAGCAGATTCCTTGAGAATGAATTGTAATTATTCCACTTTATGCCTTACCTGCTTCAACATCCCAATGAGCAACAAATAACGCTCATTTATTGAAGAATTAATTTAGTCCTGTATCCATAACAAAAAATGTTCAATGGTCTTGATAAATCCCTGATTTGTAAGATTGGTTATTTATCCAACACTAGACAATTTAATAGTCTCATAAGCAAATATTTTTAAGAAATCTCATTGACCATAAAACTTTAAAATATAAAGGCTGCGAGGGGAATTACTTTTAGGAAAAACCAGGTACTTATTTCTTTCTGCAGTTTTGAACAATGGCATCTGCCAGTCCTGCTGGCAGTGTAACATTCACTGGTGTGGCTCATTTTTCACTTTCATTACTGAAACACTGCAGCAACTTATCAGAAGAGTTTATTCAAAAGGTCAGGTTGATGAAATAGTTTCTTCCTCCTAAAGGTTGAAAGTGTAATTAATGGGAGATATTGTGTGTGTGTATCAAACCTTTTACAAGTGCTATCCAAGTACACCAGTGTTGTTTACAGACTGCAATCCTTTGCATACCTATCTATTCCCACTGAACTTGGTGAGACTTACTCCTAAGTGTGCATGAGGTTTATTACATTTTTCAGCCTGCTGCCTACATATCTAGTTTGTGCTTCTGGAATTGGCTTTTTAAGGCTAAATGTTGTCTAAGGATGAAAATGTTGCATCTGACATTCTCTTACTTGCTGCAGCAAGAGGACAAATCTTTTATCTTCTATTTATCAGCTCTTCAGGTATTTGAAGAGCGTGATCATGTCTCTGTCTTCTCCAGGCTCAACAATACCCAGTACTTCAACCTCCCTCATAGCAGTCATTTCCTATACCTTGACCATCCCCACTGTCCTCCTCTGAACTCATTCCAATTTTTCTTAAACTGTGTTTCCCAAACCTAAACACAATACTTCAGTTGAGGTCTGACTAGTGCAGAATAAAGTTGAACTGTCACTTCTTGTGACTATAGTTTTATTAATATAGCTTAAAATAGCATCAGTCTTTTTTCAAGCAGTTTCACACTGCTGACTCATGTTCAGCTTGTTGGTGACTACAATCCTGCCATCCATTTCTACAATCAATTTAACTGTAGGGCCAAACATTGTTTGTAAAATCATACATACACCCTTTGGTTTTCTTAAGGTATGAAGCTTGTTGCATTTCTTTGAAAAGTTCTACAGTGGTACCTCGGGTTAATTCGTTCCAGAGGTCCATTCTTAACCTGAAACTGTTCTTAACCTGAAGCACTACTTTAGCTAATGGGGCCTCCTGCTGCCACTGCGCCACCGGAGCACGATTTATGTTCTTATCCTGAAGCAAAGTTCTTAACCTGAAGCACTATTTCCGGGTTAGCGGAGTCTGTAACCTGAAGTGTATGTAACCTGAAGCGTATGTAACGTGAGGTACCACTGTATTTTTGTTTTTGCAATTGTAAATATCTGTGATCTGTGTGACACCAGTACACATGTACAAAACCCCTTTTTTTCTCATGGGCAAATGGGTTTGAGAAACACATTAAGAGTCTCTTCCTTTCTCTTCATAAATGAGCAGTGTAACTGAAATACACTGACTGTCTTGTTGGGATACTGCCAGGGAGACAGAGTCCATCTCGGCCCCACGTCGATTCCGGACGTCCATCGATCTCCCGTAGACACGCAGTATCAGCTATTAGCGACACGAGCTCCAGAAATAGAATGCCACATTCCAGAGCTGATGCACACTCTATCAGCAGATAATGCACAGCGAAAGACGCACTCAGGAGAGCATTATTTACAAGTTTTATTCAGCGTTGATCAGAACAAAGAAAACATGACTGCCAGCTTCAGTGTCTCTGAGACAGAGAGAGAAACGAAAGCAAAGACACAACAGAAACATCCTGTGAACAGGAAATACACAGACTTTGTGACTCACAAAGCCTGCTCCCTTTTAAGGTGGAACGGAAATATCCTAACATGTCTAACCATTGGCACACACTCTGAGAACAACTTCAGAGCATGTCTATTTTTATGAAATTAAATAAAGTTGTACAGGGGAAGAGACCCAGATTCAAGGTACCACGCAGTTATGGACAGCACTTGGTGGCCTTAAAAAACCAAGTCACTTGTACTAATAGTAACACAGAGGCAAGAAAGACCTGAGAGGGCAATGCACATTATTTGACATCCCAGTCTAGCATTAGGTAATATGTTGGACACTCAGTGTAGTATCAGTGTGTATGTCCATTGGAATGAAAAAAATATGCTTTTTAAAATTCAGGATGCTACAAGATCACCACAGTATTCAGCCATGCTCAGATAGTGGTGCCCTGTGTAGGATGCTCGACTGTCTTGTGCCAACCAACAGGAGGCAAAGCCAGACTCACAGAAGGTAGGGGAAAACCACCTTGCTCCTTTAATCAGGCTTCTTCTGCGCAGCTACACCATTTATGCCATGACCTTAGTATTCATTAACACAGGCAGCTTATTCAGGCAGTCTATGTGTTGAAATAAATTGTTGATTTTATCTCCTAATGTATTTGTAGATTTCAGAATTTCCCAGCCTGCTGGCTGGGACTTATGAGGAACATATGGTGGGGACCAGATTTGGGAAGGCTGTTCTAGAGCCATAGGGATTACCCATAGTTCATTGATTCAACACATGCATAAAGTATTAGCTTCAGTCCCTGTCATCTTCAATTAATGGCTTTTGGATAGCAGAGCCAAGAAAAACCTGTGCCTGAAACGAACAGAAGAGTAAATATTGGGCTAGATAGATCAATGGTCTGACTCGGTATGTGGCAGATTGGTTTGCTCAGTTCTGCACAAAACAGCTTTAATGTTAATGATTGGGCATGCATCTGGAAATATACTTAAACATCTTCAACCATTGAAGGGGTAGGGTTGTTGTTTTTTGGCAGAATTTAGAACACAGCATTAAAATTCTTCTCAGAAACAAAAAGTGGGGCATCAGCACTTGAGGAAAAGCATATAATAAGCATATATAAGGCAGGGCCTTGGATGTAGGGAGTGGCTGGCTAGAAGACTCAAATTTTCTGGAATGCCAACCAGTCCACACACATTTAGCAGAAATTGCCGCTGATCAGTGCCTAGTCTGGATGGAAGGTCAGGGGAATACGCCATTTCTTAAAATTCTGTTCATTCTAGTGTGGCTAAAGTTGAATCACAAATGCAAGGGCTCTTAAAAACCTAGATGAGCAAATGGGTTCAATGTTAAACGAGATTCTCAGCTGGCAGAATTGCAGCTTGGCAAAATTCCCAGAACTATTAAGTCCAGAGGTGCCGTTGAAGTTAAAATTCTTAACCGAAAGATTTCCTAGTTGTTGAGCTACTCTGCATTTCAATAGGTAAAAATATTCTAAAGGTAAATTAACTGAGTGCAGTTCAATTATGGGAGATAACGCACTAGGATGGCAAGGCAGGGGACAGTGAGAGTTGAATTTCTTTAAAGGGAACTGAGAATATGATATAAAGATCAGTCATTCTGGCAGGGGGTGGGGGGAATCCCTACAGGGAGACAGAAAGAATATAAGCATTAATGCAAGTTTCCCAGTGAGAACAATTTGACAAGGGAAACTCTGCACACTTGGATATTTACAAACACGAACATCTGCTGGGGTTATTTTACAAGTAGGAGCTTTGATTTTCATGTCACTGTCTGCAGTCTTTATAAGCTCTTTGGATCTCATGTATGGTACTATTTCTTTACAGGTTGCTCATTTAGAAGAAAGCAACACTGAAGAATTCCTGTGCTGCTGTAAATGATACCACTGGAAGCCTTATGTTTGACAGTGCTGCTTAATCTAGCAAGTTAATTATGTCTAGCTGTGGGGTGGGGTTTTGTGCAGATTTTGTGTCTATGTTTAGGGGTAACCAAACTCTATTTTTATAGCTTTTATTATACAATGAACCTTGAATGAATAAGGCTGTTAATTATGTCATTTGAATGCTTTTAGTGCATTTTTCTTCGCAGTAACAACCGGCTGATCACTATGGTGAAGAAATTCAAATGCCGGTCTTTAAAAAACTTCATAAGAAGGGAACAGTTTTTATATTTTAACCCTGCTGGTTTTGCAGCTATAGGGCCTAGTCTTCTTGGAACTTCTGATTTGCAAATCTCCACTGAAATGAATAAAAGCTATGCAAGAAGAAACATAGCTTACCGGTACTTGGGAAGGACTGTAACTCCATGGCTGAACATCTGCTTTGCATGCAGTACCCAGCACCCATAGGTGGGGCCGGGAGAGACGACTCCTTGAATTCCTGGAGAGCTGCTGCCAGTCAGTATAGACAATTTATGTTAAGATAAGTAATTCTACTTACTTCCAGCTGTGGGTCCTCCACCTCGATCCCGATTCTCCTCAAACGATTCGGGATGTCCCTCCCCGTTTCATGGATGCAAAAGATCAAGATTATATATTAAACGCCATTGCTGTGCTCTGGTCTCAGAAAAACCCACAAGGATCCCTCCTTTTTCCTCCATTCTTATTATTTCCTATAGAAAAAGAGCACCAGTTCAGAATCAGACCAATGCAGGGAAGATAGGCCTATGAATGCTTCCACTCTTGCTGTGAAGCCAGCAGAGAGAGGTGTCACAATGTGGCATGGAGATTAGGTCAAGGAGGCCACAGGAAAAGGATTATTACTGAGCTAAGTGGAACAATGGTCTGACTCAGTATAAGGCAGCTTCCTAGGTTCCTATTGGTTTATTGTTTTGGTAGTCTTGCCCAGGAAAAGTTCACAAAAGATGCTGATCCTATTTCCTGGCTGGTCAACTAACTGCACAGCACTTGACTAATGTTTTCAGAACCGGCTTGCGTTGCTGTGTGCCTCCCTGATGATACAATGCAGTGCCCTTGTTAACTTTTCTGATTTTTTTTTTATGGGGAGGCACTGTCCTTCAGTGTTAGATCACATACTTTGCATGCAGACAGCAGATGAAGGAAAAGAAGATGGAGAGCTTCTCTGCCTGTCAGAGGAAGCAGCAGTGAGCTAGTTGGGTAAATGGACTGACCTAGTAGACAGCAACTTCTAATGTTCTTGTACTCAAATTGATTATCCATTTGGGAGAGCATGGGACTCTTAATCTCAGTCGTGGGTTTGAGCCCCAAGTTGGGCAAAAGATTCCTGCATTGCAGGGGGTTGGACTAGATGACCCTTGGGGTCCCTTCCAACACTACAATTCTATGATTCTATAGACTGTTTTCTGCCTCTTGAACTGCTGTTTATAGCCTGTACTGCATAGTCAGCAGAATGACATGCACTTCACTAGTTCTGGTCAGTAGAGCAAATAATGACCCACAGTACTAAAACCAGCAATTCAAGTTGCTGCAAGGAGTACTAAATTGTGGATTGGTGTTATGGCGGTTGCATTTCTGACTGGTTTGAATATTTTATCAGGCATTAAGAGAATTCACTGCAGATTAACTTTAATCATAATTACTACAGCCTGTGTCTTATTCCTTACTTGGTAATATTCAAAACAGAAGTCTCAAAACCATCATTAGAGGTTCACAGGCCTCCTTCCAAGTTGGAAGCGTCTTAGTTGATCAGTAGTTCCCTGATCTCTTTCCTCAACTAAAGCTGTGTTTTGTGCTTTTTTAATTTGTCTGCATTAGAATCAATAAACTGCTTGATATGAAATCTGAAAGTGTGAGCTGCCTTACTGCACTTCTTAAAAAGTTAACCTGTCTTGCTTTATCCAAGGAATTGTTAATTTAGGTAAATGTATAAATTGTAGTTACACATTCATTTGTGAACCAGTTTGTGTCGGTTTAGCCCCAGCAAAGAAACTCTGTGCTTCTTTAGGGGCTATTTCAAAAGTTTCAAGATGACACACTCTTGTGACTAACAGTGGATGAGGGGCTTCTTAAAAAAGCTTCCAGTTAAGGTCCCCCCACCACTGTCTTACTTTCCTGTCCTTCTATACCTCTGTCATCCCTATGCAGTTTTTACAAATGTTGCTCTACACTTCTTAAAACTACAAGGAAGCAAGATAGCTGTTGTCCCAGATTCCAGAATTTACACCTCTTGCCAAAAAGGGGGCAAATGCAATTGAACATGATGTAGCACCCACAGCCACTTGGAACTTCGTCAACATAAAGTATTTATTGGTTAAGGCATACAAAAAGGCTAGTCAATAATAAAAGGATCCAAATAGGCATTTTACATAAGCATAATTAGTTCAGCCAAATTTCAGATTGCTGGAGAAAAGGCAGGGGCAGGAGAAAAAGAAACATTTAACATGATTTATATAAGGATCATTGTGACAGATCAATCATTTAGCACCAGCCCTCCTGAACCTCATACCCTTGAAGTTTTGAACTACAATTCCCATCAGCCCCAGGACTCCACTCTTACAACTAGCAGGTATGACTAAAAAAGTGAAGAAGATGGTGCACCAGGCTCTCAGAGGAATTCTAGGCTAAAACAACAACAAAGGACCATCTTGGGTATGCTTTCTAGAGAAGAGCAAGTAGAAAGAAAAAATGTCCGGTGCAGCCTCAATCTATGCATATTCACTCGGGAGCTCGTCTCATATATTCAACAGGGCTTACTCCTAAATAGATGCACATAGGAGTGAAGCTTTTAAATAAATGTAAACTTCTCTTAAAGCTTTCAAATGGCTGTTTCCTACACTTCACAAATAATACACGCAGTAAAGTGTTGACTGGCAGGGAGCAACATTGGCAGCCTATTGTGACCATGCCTACCTGAAACCAACTACAATTTTGCTATTGTGAGGCAAACATGACATCAAAATTCCACACACACACACCCGACTACCTTCAAGTCTAGGAAATTATTACTGGGTGGGCAAGTTCTTAAACTATTAAAAGCAAAATAGCAGCACCCGACATAAACTTAAGAGTCTCTTGTAAAGTCAATCCCACCAGAACTGCAGGATTTAGTACCTTTCTGTACTTTGTATCAATGTTACTGAAGTGGAGGGTTGAGCCCTGCTAACTGTTCCAGCAAGAAGGGGAAGGAGGTCCTTTGACTGTCCCTAATGGGGTGATGGAAATTGTTGCTCTTAGGAGCTCAGTCCCTGCTGCCTTTCTCTCTCTGTTATTGAGAGCTGGCACCCAAAAGCAGGCATAGCAGAACCAAAACCCTGCATGATTAATGGACCTCTGTTGCTCTCCTGCTGTCTTGGCACAACTGTACTTGAGTCAAGCGGTGCCTGTGGCAGTCATCCCCTGGGTTTTCGCCACTCCTGTCTAGGCCTAGGTGATGTATCAATACATTGCCCAAGACCAATATGAGGGCCAGACTGTGATGGCAGTTTCATCAGGCGGTATATTCTGAGTGAAACAGTTGCTGCTCCCAAGTGCCCAGCGTGCCGAAGGAGAAACAAGCTGCAGCCAGGTGCTGTAGGCAGAGGGACTCAGGAGCAGCGGTGGTTTCACTTGCAATAAAGTGCCAGGTGAAACTGCCACCGTGCTCTGGCCGAAGGCAGAGGCAGCCTTGTGAATGGAGCTTCCCAGGCTCTGGGCGCTTGACTACTACCCAGCTGCTTTCGTCTGGGAGGGTGAGCTGCATCTTTCCTCCAGGGGTGGTCGGTCACCCGGGAGTAAAGACCCAGCACGCTCGCTGGGGTGTAGGGGAAGGCAAACGGAAGGAGCCTGACAGGCTCTGTGCGCTTGGCTACCACCTGGCTGCCTTCATCCAGGAGGGTGGGGTGTGTCTTTCCCCCCAGAGTGGTCTTTCATCCCAGGAGAAAAGACACAGTGTGACTACTTGCTTGGGTGAAGGCAAAGGCAGGCAAACGTACAGATCCTGACAGACTCTGCACTTGGCTACCACTGTCTGGCTGACTCCCTCCATCCCCAGTGTCTGGCAAGAGGAACAAGCTGCATTGGCCTCAGCTCCTGGCCAATGCAGCTTGTTCCTCCCTCTGTTTCAACATCATGGTGTATCGTCAGATCGGGATGTTTGGCTGGTACATCACAATGCTGAAAAGCTGGCATCGCCCAGCCCTACCCCTCTCAATCTTTCAAATACAACAGTGAAAGTTAAAAGTCAATTTCTCAATTAAGATCAGAGAATGAAGAAGTGAAATGATGTGATTGGCAACTAGATTTGGCTTTAGGTGGCAAAAGTTACCACTGCTCACACTTTTGGCAACTTGCACCCGAGAAATACCTTTAATGAGTTTGCTTGACCCACATGGCTGCTTCCCTGAGTAGCGAGTTTGAATGCAGCACAACCAACATAGAATGGGGACATGCCTTTGCAATATGATGCTTTCAGTGCTATGGACACCTGTCAGCATATATAGCTTCCCGCATTTCCTTTGGAACCTTGTTTAATCCTGTAAGGAGCTGCTTTTAACAGTGTGCTGTGCCAACTTATCCTGTTCAAATTCCATTGCAATCTTTAAGGCAATGCTGCTAAGGGAAACAGACTGCATATTACAAATAATTGTGACCACCACACCCTTGGGTGGCACCAGTGGGCCACTGTTTGAAGCTGCAGAGTCTGACTCTTCAGGAAGAATGAGCAGGACGCTGCTTGCACCCACTGCCCCACCCGTGTGGTAGGCATAGTGTCGCTGCCGCCTGCAGTAGCCATATTCCTGCTTATTCTCCACCACACTCCACGCCATCCCATATTTAACATCTTTGTCCCCAGGTGCTTTTGTGTTTGGAACTGGCCTCCACATCATGGCTACGGTGCCAGGTTTGAGATAGCCAGGAAGGAGTCCAGCAGCGAGGTTTTCCAGCTGTCCAAGTTGATAGCCATACAGCATAGCGTTGCCAAATTTAAGAAGGTCGCTCACTGTGGAGAGGAAGCCACCACCAGCCCACTTGTAGGAGTTGTCCACGTAGGGTGCATTGACCAGACGGCCTTTTTTGTTGTGAATGTAGTTCCTGGAGGGGGAAGCAAGAAGGATGGTCATCCACAAAGAAAAGGAAGCAACTATTTCATTCAAATGTGCCACAGGCAAACTTCAGAAATTGCACGCAAGAAGAAAGCAAAAGATGGCGATAACCCAGGCACAGGCAAACTTGGCCCTCCAGATGTTTTTGGGACTACAACTCCCATCATCCCTAGCTAACAGGATCAGTGGTCAGGGATGATGGGAGTTGTAGTCCCCAAAACATCTGGAGGGCCGAGTTTGCCTATGCCTGTGATAACCAGTGCAATGTTTTTTTTTCAAATGGGGAAGCTTTGCCCAATTAACAAGCACCACTCAGCTATTTGCTGGATTCACCACTGCTTGGTTCCACATCTTGGCATGGAGCTGCTTTACTATGAAAGGTAAGAGGACAAGTTGCACTAGAACAGCAGAAAGGAAACAAGGCTATCAGTACTCTAGCTACATCATTGTACTGGTGAAGGCTAGACCTCCAAGTACACTGATGAGCCTCTTGAGCAGTAAAGCTCAAGGCCAGCCCTACTTCACTGTAATGAAGATGCCTCAGAACTCGGTCCCTCCAAATTTGAAATCTAGGTGAAAACCCTTCCTCACAGCTTTCTGAATTAAAAGACACACAGCAAAAATGCCAGTAAACAGCTTGCCAGCCATGGAAACTCTAAGAAACTGGAGGATTTCGAGGGCTGTGGAACTGTAGGTATGAACAAATTTAAGCACTTAACTTGGCTGTATTATGATCTTAGATCTAGGCCAAAACTCACTTTGCTTCTTTTACGTGGCTCTTTGAAAAAGGTATGACTACAAAAAATGTATGTAGAGTGGTACCCCGGGTTACAGACGCTTCAGGTTACGTGATTTTGGGTTGCGCACCGCGCCGAACCCAGAAATACCAGAATGAGTTACTTCTGGGTTTAGGCGCTCGCGCAGAATCACTAAGTCGTGCTATGTGCAGAAGCGCCGAATCGCGACCTGTGCGTGCACAGACGCGGTGCTGCAGGTTGCGAACATGCCTTCCGCACGGATCACGTTCGCAACTCGAGGTTCCACTGTACTATCATCTCACAGCCTTGGATTATATAAATACAAAGAGAACCACAAGGTGGCAGTGAACTCTGATTTTAGAGCATCACTCCCAGACATGCTGAAGCATTACATTAAGCTTATCAGGTCCCCTTAATTTTGCTTGGAATTATGTGAACTGCTACATATGATTTACTTTCATTTATAAAAATTAAGGGCTTGTCCATCTTCCTCAAGTCACTGTCCCTAACAATTTTTCCAAAATATTAGCTTCTTAACACTAAACATCCACAATTAAATTGTTCCCTGTGACATGTCCCTTGGGAATTGTCCATACTTTCTAACAGCAATAGCTGTGCCATTTTTACTTTTTGTGAGAGGTGAGGGAGTTTCTTTCTAAGCAGTCGATTAACACAACGTATTGCTTTTGATCTCTTAATAATTTGTAATTAAAACTCCTGCTCATCTGGGGATCATTGAATGGCTAGCATTAAATGGGCAGTATGGAGGGGGGGGGGAGAGAAGGGTACCCAAGGCATAGGAACTATTGGAAACCATTCATCAGGGCTATTCCAAACTTTAAAGTGTTTCTACTGAATTTAACTCAATATTTAACTAAATTTTAAGAATTGGCAGTGTCTTTATTACCTGCACCAACTACTAATTCTTCATCTTGTTCTAAAGCAGCCCTCGCCAACCTGGTGCCTGTAGTTTTGGACTACAATTCCCATCAGCCCCCGACAGCATGGCCATATGGCATGGGGAGTAAACAGTGTTTTTGTGCACTCTGGCTTCCATAACAGTGTCCCACTGTGCCAGAAGCAGTTCAGTCATGCTGGCCACCTGTCGTGGAAGGCTGTCTGCAGATAAAAGCCGGCTCTCTCGGCCTGAAAGCGGAGATGAGTGCTGCACCCCCTAGTCGATTTCGACTGGACTTAACCATCCAGGGGTCCTTTAGTATGGTTGTGCTGCTGGGAGTTGTAATCCCAAACATCTGGAGGGCACAAGGCAGGGGAAAACTGAGCTATGCACAACTCCAACGGAGCCAATAACTGCTCAGTTGTGAATGAGAGAAAATAAGGCTGTTGCAAAGGGGACATGCCATATAAAGATACACGAGTGCTTCTGTCAGTGTCAGTGGAACCCAGATTGCTGTGGATACTCCAAAGAACATATTTTATTAAGCCAAAACAAATGAACAGCAACTGTTGCAAGCCTACGGGACATGACTGCATGGAAGTTTACCTTGCTCTGTTGTATATAAGGGGCTCATTATCATCCAGTCCTGTTGCCAACATATCCAGGTCACTAAATATTTTCAGCATGTAGTCTGTGAATTTCTGACCCGAGGCTCTCTCCACAACAGCACTCAGAAGAGTAAATCCATGAGTTGAATACAAAAACTGGCTACCTTGAAGGGAAGAAGAAAGGTACATTTTATACACAGTTTATGCTGTGAGCATTTTACACACCACTGGTGCTTAGTCCCCTAAAGAGGGATCTACTTAGATTGAGACAATGTGAGAGTTGAAAAAATGTACTTTATTAAGTTAACTCTAGGTCTTAAACTGCATAAAGGCAACTCTTTCAGCACATAAAAGTGTAGGACTTACATAAACACCTCTCAATATAACAAGCTGCTCTCTTTCTCATACTTTTAAACGTAATATTAAAAATTTCTGAGATTTACATATCTGAAATATTGTTGCAATCGAAATTATTCAACCCCCATTGCAAATCAGGTTTATTATTAAAATTTACAGACTTCCAGCTGTTTGCAATGAGCAAACCAAAGCAATTGAAATAGCTCAACACAACAGATGCTTCAAGTGGTTTCCCCAAATTCAGCTGAAATTGCAACTTAAAATGACTTCTCCAGTCTCACTGTTATTCAACCCCTTCATGGCAAGCATCTTTAGTACTTAGTGGAGCAGCCTTTTGCAGACATGTTGCAAAAGAGATGCATAGCCAGACAGCAGCTTCCGGCAGCATTCCTGAGGAATCTTAGCCCACTCCTCAGGAGCAAAGGCTTCCAGTTCAGTAATATTTTTGGGTTTGCGTTCTGCAACCGCCTTCTTCAAATCCCACCAGTGATTTTCTATGGGGTTCAAGTCAGGTAACTGTGATGGCCGCTGTAGAACTTTCCAGGAATTCTTCTGCCAAGCCTTGGTGGACTTTGAGGTGTGCTTGGGATCACTGTCCTGTTGGAAGATCCAATGATGCCCAAGCTTCAGCTTCCTCACAGACGGCATGATGTTTCCTCCTAGGATTTCCTGATACATCAGTGAATCCATCCTGCCTTCCACACGCTGCAAGTTTTGAGTGTCAGAGGATGCAACGCAGCCCCAGAGCATCACCGAGCCACCACCATGCTTCACTGGGTTCTTCTCAGCGTATGCTTCATTCTTCCTCCTCCAGATATAGCGCTGATCCATGGGGCCACAAAGTTCCAATTTTGTTTCATTGCTCTACAGAACAGAATCCCAAAACTTCTGTGGCTTATTTATATGATATTGAGCATACAGTGGTACCTTGGTTTATGAACTTTATCCGTTTCAGAAGTCCAGTCTTAAACCGAAGCGGTCTTAAACCAAGGCGTGCTTTCCCATAGAAAGTAATGGAAAATGGATTAATCCTTTCCAGACGATGAAAAGCAACCCCTAAAACAGCAATTTCACTTGAATTTTACTATCTAACAAGACCATTTCTGGGTTAAGGTTAGGGTTAATTTTAGGACTGGGTTAGGTTTAGGGTAAGGATTAGAATAAGGGCTAGGGTCAGGGTCAGGGTTTTATGTTTTCTTGTGATTTTGATTCATTTCCTGTTGGTTTGCTGGGGAGCGCCTGGCTGCCTTCAGGTGGTGCAAGGGCTCTAAGATGCAGCTTCCGGGCTGCCTCCACCTTCCCTGACCCCAGCAACTATTCAGCTGGCTGCGTGCAAGCAGGAGCAGGGCAGGGCTCTCTCAGCTGCGAAGGGAGGCTTCACGCTGCCTATTGGAGCAGCCCCGATCCCAACTCCTACTTGCGTGCAAGCAGGAGGGGGCATGGATCTTCCTGTTATGCAGTGCGAAGCCTCCCTTCCCAGCTGAGGGATCCGAGCTGCCTCCTGCTTGCACACAAGTAGGAGATGGGATCAGGCTGCTCTGATGGGAAGGGAGGCATCGTGCTACCTATCAAAGCAGAACAAAGTGCCTTTGTGCGATGGTGGTGGGAGCAAGGCCGCTAGCACTGCAGCCCGAGCCTCGCCGCTGCCTCCACCACTCTCGGCCCTCCTTCTCTACCTTCCATACCTGACCCACCGCACACCGCTTTCCCACCACCACCATCACCAAAGAACCAGCGAGTCATGGGGCTGCCAAGGCTCATTGAGAAAGGAGAGAGAAGCCTCGGAGAACGGGGAAGCGTGGTGGTACCCACAAACGTCCGTTTGTATACCAAAAAACCCCCATGCAACCCGGAACACTGATTTCCGGGTTTGAAGTGGTCGTAATCCAAAATGTTTGTTAACTAGGCTGTTCATAACCCGAGGTACCACTGTACTGGAGCCGACTGTTCTTGTGCTTTTGGTTTTGTAGTGGTGTACGTCTTGCGAGTTCTGGGATGGAAACCTTCTGCATTTAGTATGTGCCTTACTGTGCTCACTGAAACCTCAGTGCCTGCTGCCACCAAGTCTTGCTGCAGCTCTTTTGTAGTCACTCAAGATTTTTCCCCAGCCTGACTTCTCAGAAATCTGGTTGGTGCCTTTTTTGCCCTGTCCAGGTTAGTGTAACCACTGTTTCTTTAACTTTGAACTTGCGAAATATGGTTCCAAGGGTGTCTCTAGGAATGTTCAGTGCCTTCAATATCTTCTTGTATCCTGCTTGTTTGTCAAGGGCGATGATCTCTTCTCTTACCTTCTTGGACCATTCTCTTGAGCTAGACATATTTCTAACATGTAGCTAAATTTGACACTCAGCAAACCCCCTAACCAGTTCAGGTATTTCATGTGCTCCAGCTCAAGCACACCTGGTACAACTAATGAAGTCCTTAATTAGTTGCATCAGGTGTGCTTGAGCTGGAACACCTGTATTTGTGCTATTGTGAGGGATTCTATTCAGGGGGTTGAATAATAGTGAGACTGAAGAAACCAGTTTAAGTTGCAGTTTCAGCTCAATTTGGGGAGACCACTTGAAGCATCCATTGTGGTGAACATCCATTTGTTTGATTTGCTCATTGCAAACAGCTGAAAGTCTGTAAACTTTGATAATAAACCAATTTGCAATGGGGGTTGAATAATTTCGATTGCAACTGTATATTCACTCTTTGGAACATAGGAAGCTACCTTATATAGAGTCAGACTATTGCCCATCTAGATCCAGACTGTCCACACAGACTGGCAGCAGCTCTCCATGGTCTTTCTCAACCACACCCGAAAATGGTAAGAATCTAAGCAGAGACCCCCTGCATGAAAGAACGGGGCTTTACTTCCTCCCCTTCAGATCCCCACAGAACAGACATAGACATCTTTCATGCAAACAGTTGAAGATACCAAACTTAAAAGAGGAAGAGTATAGAAATAAAGACCTACTTCAAAATGAAAATGGAGTAGGCAAAGATAGTCAAACCTTTTCTCAATGAAAAAGTAATGTTGAAACAACCAAGTTATGTGATCTTCCATAAGGCATATTGACAACACAGCTGTACTAAACAGTTTGGATTAAATGTACAACTCACCTGGTTTAAAGAACAAAGGATCATTTTTAAATAAGTTCAGTGAATCAATCACATTATCAAATTTTTCTTTCAAATAATATTCTTTATGTTCAAACTCTGTTTTTTTCTTTTCACTTTTCGAAGGTTTGCCTTCGTGTTCCGGCTTGGCTTTAGCAAAGTCAGTTTTTTCAGAGACTTTGTCTTCTTTCTCTCTGTCAGATGTTGTGATATCTTTTGTAGCCTTCAGGGTTCTGTTGGCCTTTTCCTTCTCTTCTTTTACTTTGGAAATATCTTTCTCATAATGGCGAATCCCACTTAACTGTGAAGTGAGCAGTCTTGTTGTAATGGTGACCTACATTTTAAAAAGACATCAGCTCAAGTAAACAGTGGAGTGATATCACATGCTATCATCAACAAAAACTTTCCAACATTTGGGGTGGGGACTTGTCAATGACAATCCATTGATCTGCTGACACTTAACTAGCCTTGCTAAAGTCAGCAGGACAACAGAGGGATGTGCCCCATCACAATAAAGAAAGGTATATTCCTATTACATATCCTTCATTCTTCTTAACAAGAGAGTTATTGTGTGCTAGTCACTATTAAACATGTTACAGATGACTGGATATCCAAGAAATTCCATCAGACCACCACTTAACGCTGGTGAATGGCCGCATTTACCTTTTCACCTTCATATTCTTTTTCAGGAAATTCTGGAACATACTTCTGCACTGGAGCATCTAAATCCAGCTTTCCTTCCTCCCACAACTTTGCAACAGCAACCATAGTCAGAGGTTTGCTAATGCTTGCAATTCGCAGGACGGTCTCTGGCTTGCAGAGGACACGGTTCTCCACGTCAGCATAACCCATTCCTTTAAGGGAATAAGCAGATTACTGTCAAGTGGTGTTTTGTGCACTGGAATGCCTCAGGCTCTTTGAACACCAAAAGATCAAGTTGTTTGAGGCTGCGTACACACCATGTCTTTAAAGCACATCACTTCCCCCAGAGAATCCTGGAAACTGTTAAGGGTGCTGGGAATTGTAGCTCTGTGAGGGATAAGCTACAGTTCCCAGGATTCTTTGAGGGAAGCAATATGCTTTACTGGATGGTGTGTATGCAGCCTAAGACTTCTCAAAGACTTTTTGATAATTTCCTCTTCTCAAGACAGACAGATGTGAGTTAGGCATAATATCTAGCTTTGGTCTGTTTGCACATCAAATGAATAGCAGCACTTCATTAACATCCATGATAAGAGATATTGTGTGTGGCAAACATGTTTGTTCCGGTATCAATACAAAGTTATCAAGTCTAGGAAGGGAGAATGGCTACCACATTGAGCTCTGAGGATGCATGAGAGGGCTAGAAAGAAACCCAAGGAAACAAATGTTTTTTAACAAAAACATAGATGCCATTTAAGATCCTAATTGGAGTTGGAGAGAGGAAGACAAAAGCTGAAAAGAGACAACGTATCAGAGTTCAAATAAATGTTTGCTGTCCTGAGAAGTGATTATACAGGTCACAGTACAAGTTAGACCTGCCCAAGCCGGATTAAGGGATGGCACCTCCCTGTGGCAAGCAAACATCTTCAAGAGGGAATGTTTTGAGTCAGTTTATTAGAACTTTCTGAGCAAGTCTTATTTGGGCACATTTGTTATAACTCTCATCAACTTTACAACTCTTTCGGGAAGAACAAAAAAACCTTTACGACTCCTTTCTCACATCAAATATTTATGCAAGTGGTATGAAGGTCTCAGATTATGAGGGGGCATTCCATGTCAAGTGATCCAATGACTTTTACCTTACCATTTTATATTGCTTTCAGTTTCAGTTTCTTATAAGTAATATAAGAGAAGGTCCAATATCTCAGTTTTTAATTTTTTATCTCATCCTGTTTTTGGGTTATGAGGGTTTGAAATTTCAAAAAATTGATAAATTTGGCCTTCCCAAGACTATACAAAAACCTTAAAAGCTCAGCCCAGAATTGAGATATTTCAAAACTAAAAATACCAATCTCTTCAGAACTTCATGGGCTATAATATGTCACATGATGGACTTACTCTAAATGCTAAAATTAAGTTACAAATTTAAAATTTTGAAAAGTGATTTTCAACGGTACAAAATATTTTTTTAAATGTGATCCCACTGAGATCCCAAGATGACATTCTGCAGGTAGCTTTTAGAAATATGAAATAATAATATTTTTTGGAAAATATTAATCATATTACTTTTTTAAAGAAAAAAACAGCGGATGGTGGCAAGATAAGCGATATCATTCTTTAAAATATTTTTGCATCTAGCACAGCACATTACAATTGCTAAAACAATAATCTAATCCTGGCTGCTTGCGTTCAACTGTTGTTGTTTTTTTAAACTATCTTTACATTTAACTATAAAAACTATTTAACTATCTTTTAAAAACTAAATAGTACATCAAGATTCTCTTGAATCTCAAGTAGTCCATGACAGGGGATATTGGGAATTATGTGCACCATAGGCAGATTTTTAAAAAAGGATTAACACATAAATGGTAAGAATAAGTTAAACTTAGTTTTGAGAATTAGTTATTAAGAAGGGGTACAACCTTTCCTGCCACAGAGAAAAACAGGTGACCGGGTGAAACTGCAATGACATAAAGTCACGCCCATTTATTTCAGTACAGACAACTTGGACACACACCACAGGCTACATTTTGCATCATATTCATTATTTAAGCATAGCAGACATGAATGTGTGGGTAGCCCAGCTGAAATGGGAGGGCATACAGCACTTCCTTTTTTGCATCAGAGTGAGCTCCTCTGAAAAGGTTTTCATAGCTAAATGTGCAAAGCGATGCTGTGCAGAAGCTTCTGGTGCTGGATAAGTTGCTGTGATGCCACACAAGTGTTTACAAAGCTTGCCTTGGGCAGCAAGTCAAGCAAGAAGCAGGTAAACCCACACAGCTAATGGGGTAAGAAGAAAGTGGATAAAGCAGTGAATCAAAATACAGGAACGCATGAGGGAAGGGTTGATGGTGCAGGCCGAGGCCTGATGAAACAAAGAGCAGAGTAAGCAGCTAGTTCAGCAAAGGAGGAACTGGTCTCAGAAGCTCAGAGAGGGCCTAAAGGAGGAGGCTGCATGCTGTTGAGAAAGGGAAGAGGTAGTGCCAAACAGCTGGGAAGGCAAGAGCCCAAGTTGCTAAAGGAAGCAGGACAGAAAGGGTGGACAGAAGAGAACGTTTTGGAAGCAACGGGACTAGAGAACCAAGCAGGCGCCGTCACCTTGCCAGATCTTATTCCATCACAACAGCATTAGGACAGGAAAAGCCACATCCTTGTTTCTATCCTGCTCCCGCTATGTGTACCGCTAACACAGGATTTTAAATGTTATTTCCATAGTCTTTGTATTATGTGTATACCGTTGGTTAAAGTGGTATTTTAAAAACACTCCCCACCCCCAGGCCTTAGGGAATTGATGGGAACCCAAAACAGGGAAACAAGGCCCAAGAACAAAAGGGGGTGGAGGGGAAAATTCACCAGTGTGGCATCTTAAAAGGATATTACCCACCAACGAGCATACACACGATCCCACTCCATTCCTGCTAGCAGCCAAATGATAGTGGAATTATAAGTGACAGGCATGGCAGGAGAATACTGTTGCTCCAGAGGAATGAGGAAGCTGGCTAGCCAGCCAGCCATCCTGTGAACATTACTGACTTATACATCACAAACCTGTATTTGTGACTTACTGACTTACATCACAAACTTATGTTTCTCCTCAAATTTTGTATTTGGATAGCTTTCCTCCCCCCCTGCATCCTCAAAAGAGCTATAGAAATTATATTAATGAATGATAATCTTAAATGTAATTTTTTTTTTAATATAAAGACAACCCCTGCCCCTGCATACAAGAAGTCTTTGACAAAGAATAAAAACACACTAATCCTCACTTACCTTCTAACCAAATTTCTTTGCCATCTACAGAAACTCCAGCTACTATTCCAGGTGCTCCCACTTCATCCTATTGGAATAAAATACAACTTTAACTTTCTGAATTCTCTTAATCCTTCTGATGCGCCAATCCTAAGAGTGTGTCTTAAAACCCCCCACAACCATTTAAATCTCATTTCATTCCATTAAAGCCACATACCCTTGCCCACATCAATGGAGGTGGAGAAGAAACCACCCTCTTCCTCCTTCCCCAAGCCAAAATTTTGCTAACTGGATCACAATCTTATTCTCTGGGTTAGTAATCAGATATATTTACTCAGGCCTTTGGAGGCGCCAGTGCTGCATATGCTTCAGAGTCTTGAGGACGTTTCTCTGGTGCTAGTTTAGTTTAACGTCAATATGATTTTAAAGATTTATTTATTTTTATTGCAAGGGGTTTATAGTATGCTGTAAACAACCCTGCAATCTTCATATTAAGGGTGGTCTAGAAATAGACTAATCAGAGTTTGGAGGATGCAAAGTGAGCAGAAGATTCTTATGAGGATGCTCTATTCTGTCTTGGTCACAATTTAAGGATATTGACAAGCTGGAACATGTGCAGAGGAGGGTGACCAAGATGATAAAAGCTGTGGAAACCAAGCCTTATGAGGAAAGGTTGAGGGAGATGGGATCTGACAGCCATCTTCTAATATCTCAAAGGCTGGAAGATGGAGCAAGCTTGTTTTCTGCTGCTCCAGAGAGCAGGAACCTGAACCAATGGATTAAAATGCCAAGAAAGGAGATTATGACTAAACCATAGGAAGAACTTTATAACTGTAAGAGCTGTTCAACAGTGGAATGGACTACCTCAGAAGGTAGTGGATTCTCCTTTATTGGAGGTTTTTAAACAGAGGTTGGATGCCCATCTGTCAGATTCTTTTGCTGTGATTCCTGCATTGCAGGGGGCTGGACTAGATGACCCTTGGGTTCCCTTCCAACTCTATAATTCTATAGACTTGTACTGCACACTTAAGGCATCCCATGCAGACAGGGGACTCAATTTTTATCATAGTTTATGCTATGTAAATTCAGAACTTTGCCGTTCGGTCCTTTAGAACAAAACGGCGGCGGCGGAATAAACTTTGGCCCTCGGCGCCTCCCCGCCTTCCCACCTTCAGGCGCTGGAGCAGGTCCCTGCTGCTGGCCACGGCCCGGGCGAAGCCCTTCTCCGCCCGAGGGCCCTCCCGCTCTTCCTCGCTCCCCACAGCCGCCGCCGCCGCCGCCGCCGTCAGGGCCAGCCCCAGCCCCACGGGGCCCAGCCGCCAGCGGCTCCCGCGAGAGGGCGGACTCCATGGCGCCCCCGGGCCGCCGCTCCCCGGGCGCCTCACGGGCAGCAGGACCCTCCGCGCTGCCGCCAGCCCTCGCAGCATGGCCGGCCAAGAGCTGCCTCGCTCCCCGGCTCCGGCCTAGGCCCGCGTTGCTAGGAGACGCGCCAGGCAGGAGCAGGAGCCCCCCGAGGGCATCGAGCGGAGCCGCCCGCGATCAGACAGCGCAGGAGCCCATCGAGCGCATCGAGCGGAGTCTTGCGGGGCTTGTTTTATCCCTGCGGAGTCCCGTTGGATTCTCACTGTGCCAGACAGCCAGCCCTTCCTTCTGTATTCATCAGTGCCTTTTCTTTCTTTCTTTCTTTCTTTCTTTCTTCCTTCCTTCCTTCCTTCCTTTCCTGCTTAGTATACTCAACATATCTCCTGAGTGTGCAGTCCCATTCATCTATTACATTTAGAATTATCCAACGTTTTAGATTTATCCAGCGTTTAGATTGATTAAGGTTTTTATCCAAATGCGATTTGGATTTTAAACGCAGTGTAAGGTAGTCTCTGTGGAAGTATATTGTATTTAATTATGGGGTATCAGAGTTTTTAGGGGGTTAACCAGGTTGGGATAGCTGGGATAGCAGGCTTGTTGTCTTGTTGTTTTGAATGTCTGGTGTAGATTTTTCAATTTCCTTGTTCTGTATGAGATAATGACAATAAAGATTATCGTATCGTATCATATATTTTTATCCCACCTACCCTCCAATGAGCTCAAGGCGGCACCCCAGGCTTATTGTTTGGTTAATGTTTAAAAATCTTGTTGGATTGTTTTGAAATCATGTCTGATTTTTATTTGTAACTATTTTTAACTGAAACTTTTTGGACGTTACAGAATGCTTCCCCCACTTCCCAAATGTAGGTGTGGTTGGTGCTATGGAATATGAATTCAATCAATCAATTCTTCATCCACCTTTTACTCTCACAACCCCGGAAAGCAGGTTCGGCTCAGACCCTCCAAGTGTCCCTATTTTCCAGGGACAGTCCCGGATTTACAGAAGCCGTACCGGTTTCTGATTTGATCCTGGAATGTCCTGCTTTTCCTTAGGACATCCCTATTTTTATTGGAGGGTAGGGTAAAGGTAAAGGTAAAGAGACCCCTGACCATTAGGTCCAGTCGTGACCGACTCTGGGGTTGCGGCGCTCATCTCGCTTTACTGGCCGAGGGAGCCGGTGTACAGCTTCCGGGTCATGTGGCCAGCATGACTAAGCCGCTTCTGGCGAACCAGAGCAGTGCACGGAAATGCTGTTTACCTTCCCGCCAGAGCGGTACCTATTTATCTACTTGCACTTTGACATGCTTTTGAACTGCTAGGTTGGCAGGAGCAGGGACCGAGCAACAGGAGCTCACCCCGTCACGGGGATCCGAACCGCCGACCTTCTGATTGGCAAGTCCTAGGCTCTGTGGTTTAACCCACAACGTCACCCGCGTCCCTACGGAGGGTAGGGTAGGATGTCTCTATTTTCATTTGAGAAATGTTGGAGGGTGACAGCTATTATTAAGCCATAATTAAATAGCAATTTAAAGCAGGGAAGGGGAGCTTGTGGCCCTCCACTTGCTGTTAGGCTCCAAGTCTCATTAGACAGCAGGTCAGCCGTTATAGAAGTTGTCATCCAACAATGTCTAGATCCTGGGAGAATGGAGTATGTACACATTTTCTTCCTGCTGCCTGACAAGCTTCACTTACCATTAGGCAGAGCAAGACAACCTACCTCAGCAGATTTTGGAGTACTATTAAAAAGCAGCTAAGTGTTCATTTTTAAATTCATTATTATATACTAACCACCATTTGGATTTTCTGCCTCAGGCTTACTCCAAAATGTCCAGAACTGTCTCCATCTTGGACTTTGTTCACTGGGATGCTTTTTTGAACAAGCTCCATTGAAATGAAGGGGGGGCATCCTGGTGGATCTTACCCATTACTTTTAAAGTCTAAAACTCAGCAACTGAAATAAGGCCACACTGTGGGCAAGTAGGTGGAGCAATGATGGAAACCAAGGATGGGAGCAAATTATTTTGGCCATTAACAATTTATTCTGTACCATAAAGTAGTGCAGAATCCAGGAAATATAGAGTAACAAATTCTTGCATCCTTCCCCGTGTCCAGTGATGTTTTGAACTATAGAGCTGGGCTCCAAGCCAGACCAAACCACTTTCAGATGTGCAATCAAATGCAGACCAGGTGGGATTCATTTCAGCATTTGTTGTTTTAATTCTCATTACTATTTTCCCAATAAAACAGAGTCATTTATCATATGCCAAATTCATATCCAACACAGAGAAAATCTGGATTCACTTAAGAGCATTTTACTTTGGCAGATTACTTACAGCAACAGTATTGAATGCACAGCGGTGGAGCCTGCCTTCCCAGTGCCCAGGGCTTGGAGGGCACCATGAGGAAGACGCTGTTGGAGAGGCGCATGCCCTTCTCAACCAGATTAGGCTGATTGGAAGTGTGCCTGCCTCTTGCATCCTCATGTCGCTCTTCCAGCGCAAGAAACGGGAGAAATGAGGACGCAGCAGGGGAGGCGCGCACCCTTCCAGTCAGCCAGGTGGGGAAGTGCACTCACCTGCCGGATGCCAGCCCTGCTGCCCTTCCAACCCTGAGAGCTGGGCGATGCTTCCCTCAATGAGGGATCCTGTCATGGGGGCACCTCATTGCAACCCCTCCAAAAATGCGCCTGTGGCCACGCGCCCCACTCCATGCTAGGCCACTGCAACTGCATTGTGTTGATAGTCCTTTCCATTTGAATTGTGGTGGAATGATTTCTTGGGCTCAGCCTTTGCTCTAGACATTTTTGGGCCTGCAACTCTCATCAACCCTGACCACTAGTACTGCTGGCTTGGTCTCCTGGGAGTTTGCCCTTATTTGGGTTCCTAAGCTGTCTGTGAAAGTCCCAGTCCCAGTCCAATACCTTGTGGTACAGAAACTTCAAATGGGAACTTCCCCCTCACTTTAACAGGCACACAATCCATCGAGAAGTCCCCTTGTGCAAAGTCTACACCAACTGCTGTGGACCTGTACAAGGTGAAAAAGAAGTCAAGATTAAAAACTATGGGAGATATGCTTGGAAATATGCCGCCTGGTTCCCTGAGAGAGGATCTCATCTGCACAGTGTTGGTGCTCGGGCTCTTCGTAATATTTTGAATTACTATGACTTTATATTGAATTGTATTAATCATTTTGATGAATCTGTTGTTGCTTTATGTTGTTGTGTTTGATAATATAGTGATTGCAGAGTGTGTGTGTAATTTTTATTTTAAATTTTCTGTTTTGCAATTTCAGATAAACATTTTACATACTTTAACATATCCAGTGACTTCCCGTCTTCTCTTTCCGTGGTTCATTTTGCATATCTTACATGCCTGCGTATTTTACAATAACTATTCCAATCGGTTTTCCACTATTATATCTATGAAATATTATTTACTCTGTTGAATTTATCTTAATGGTGCCAGCGTTTTCAGCTGTACAGTTATTTTCCATATATTCAATAAACATTTTCCAATCTAATTTAAACGTATGTTCTTCATGCTCTCTTATTCTATATGTCAAATCTGCAAGTTGTGCATATTCTGTCAACTTAAATTGCCAATCTTCTTTAGTTGGGACCTCGCTCACTTTCCATTTTGGGGCTAACAAAACATGGGCTGCAGTTGCTGCATACATAAATAAACTTTTCTGACCCCTGGGGATTTCAATCTGAGTTATCCGCAATGGAAAGCACTCCAGGTGTTGGTGTGTGTTTTTTTTGGGGGGGGGGGGGAGTAATTTTAAACATTTTTTTCAGTTCATTATAAATCATTTTCCAATACTTTTTTACCTTCATAGTTTGTTGTTTTTTAATGCTATTATGATTATTGTGAGCCGCTTTGATCTCAACATTTATTGTTGGAAAAGCGGAATACAAATATTAAATCAAAATCCCATCAGGTCCAGCCAGCATGACCAGTGGTCAGGGCTGAGGAACTTAAGTTCAAAACATCTGAAGGGCAACAGGCTGATCTGTAGAAACATGTTACAGAAAACTTTAAAGTTCTGCTGTTCAGCGATACAAAAATGGAACGTGTGTTGGCACTTCAGAATTATAGGCAGGCAGGAGATGTCATCTAAAACACTGGGGTGGGGGGAAGATCTGGGTGGACTACTAATCCTGCTCTTGTACTCCTTACTGTAAGAAAATGGTATGATGATGCCAGCATTTCCAGTACTGAAAGAAAAGAGCCTTTTTCCAAAAGCAGAGCTGTCTTTCCAAACTGCCCAAAGAGCTGACAGCCTCACTGATTACAGATTCCAGTCATTAACTGCCCCATGTTGATATACTTCTGACTTTAAACTCTTCTGGCAACTTAAGACTTTCAATATTTGCTTCATGCCATGAATTCAGGAAGAAAGTTTTACAGGTTTCCTCTGTGAAAGGGCTTCTTCAGAATGTTCCCCAAATAATGTAATAGAAGGGAAAGCTATATGCTTCGTAGAAACTCTTCATGTTGTTTCTGAGCTGCTGATCGGATCACCGATCCAATAAGGATTTCCTACGGGCTCGATTGCAAGCTGCTGCCTTAGTGTTGTGGGGTTGGAGGGTTCTGGGGGGTGGCAGAGGCTTAGGATAGGAAGTGCCCAAAGTAAAATAAAAACCACCCACACTTGCCAACAGGATGGGAGCAGCCTCCTTAGGCGGAGGCCTACATTCACCATGGAAAGCTGAGGTGCTTTGGTTTAAAAGTTAACAAAATGTTCCTGCTCCCTTTCCTGGAAATTCTAGCTGTATGCTAGAAAACACACAGCTAATATTTTCAAGGGGTGCAGAGGTAGGACATTTTCTGGGGTGATGTGTGCGCATGGATGGACGGAATTGCAACTCAACAGTGCAAGTGCCTGTCTTTAGGAATCCTCCATCACCCATGGGGAACCAGTGACCCTCCAGACGCTGCTCAGCTTCCAACATCCATTATTCTCCAGGCAGCACAGCCAACGGTCCAGGGTAAATAATTTTGGTTCAGCAACATATAGAGTGGCTGGGGCAACCCTGCCAGATGGGCAGGGTATAAATAATAATAATAATTATTATTATCAGAGAACCACAGGTCCCTTGCCCAACTTACAGCCTTTAGTTTCTCCATCTGTCCTTGTTAACACACTTGTTTCAGCAGCATCCACCTTTACTCCAGGGGAAAGCCAGGCTCTCTACTTCCCCTACCCCCAATTCACTGCTGAGGGCTAGCACCATACAATAAGGTCTCCAGATCTGCCTTGACTCATGCATGCAATGGGTGACATCTCTCCATGACTAAAAAGCTGCTGGATTATGGTGAATATGTGAACTGCGGTCCATGGCACTCATCCATGCTTCATACAGACTCCTCACCACCACCCCCAAATTACTTTTCACTTAGGCATTATACTTCCCCCCCCCCAATTTTTGATAGAACCTTTAAAAGGATCTGAAGTTGAGGATTAAGTTTGCTGGAACCCCCATTTTCCATCCTACGTCTTGCCAGTGCTAGAACGATGACACCTTTCCTCCCGTTTCCATCACCACACAGAAAAGCTGCATGCACAAAACCCGTAAGATGGGAAAATAAAGATCACAAGGCAGCATGTTTTTACAAAATGTCCTAGAGTGCTTGTTCTTTTATTCTATTATCAATTATACAATGTTTACATACAGATACATTTTTTTTAAAACTGCTAAAAAAAAGTGTGTCAAACAAACATGTGGCAAATACCAAATGTATTTGATTCCCTTGAGTTTCAGACAAAAACAGAGTTAACAACTGGAATCCATTGATGAAAAATGTTTGGTTTGTTCCCCAGTGCAGCGGATCTTAAGACGCTGCCATGGAATGACTTTTTGCAGACCAAAATGCTGCCTAACCATTTGTAGTGAGCTGTAAATTGCACGCTTTCAACTCAGGCATTAAATAGTTTAAAATGGAGCCTACAGGCCTGTTTTGTTCTCAAATGCAAAGGCCAAACCTTTGCAGCTTGAGGCATCTTCAAAGAAATCAAATTACTGAGCTGGACAAACCGCTGAGATTAAAGAAATACCGTTCAAAGGACCACACAAGTACCTTTAGTTTCAAGGAATGTCAAACACACACACCCCTCCTTGTTCCTCTCCTGAGTTTCTAACATCAATCTTTGTTTAATATCTAACTTGGCTGGACAGGTGGAAGAGAACATTTCTGCCATCACCTGCCCCCTCCCCCCCCAACAAAGGCTGCACACAATTTGCAGCACTGAATTCTACAAAACAGAGGCAACATTAGGGCCAGGAATATGGCACAGCTGATTCACAGCCACATGGAGCCTAACCCCATACATATACATATACATATACATATACATATACATGTGTATATATGTTGTTTTCCCTGACTCCATGCCTGGGGTTTAGCAAGTGGACCTGTGAGTATAGCAACATGGGGGGACAGTAATAAAATAAAGACACATTTCAGGGTTTCATGGCAAGCAGGTGAAAAAATAAATCAAAACAAAGCTGACAGTGGTGTGGCCGCAGCTATGGTGGTTTTCACATGTTGTTTAGCTCCAGTAAAGTTTGATCCAGCATTTGATGCATATTGAGGTTCTCTTCTTTGGCATGTGCCACTTTCTCTGTTTTGGATTAGAAAAGTCAAGTTATGAAAAAAATGTCATTGTTTTATATTAATTGAACACAGGCAAATATCATTTGTAAATGAGCATGAAGGGTGCATGACCACGACATATTAGGATTAACATAAGCTAGGTGGTGACAAAGGCAACACACTTCAGAGCAGCCAGCAGCCCAAAAACACCTTTGCCAAATGAGAAGCGAGTTATCTGTTGGGTCCATCATCAAAGGAGGCAGCAGCCAAGAACTGGGACTTGTTTTGGGACAAAGACACCTGGCTCATATCATATCAAACATAACACCAAAGAACCAGGTGGTGGTGGGGAACTAAACAGAGTAAGTTATGCTACAACTTGGGGAGTGTTTTTTGTTTTAATCCTAGTGCCACCAAAAAAACCATCAACCTTATGTCACATGACGGCTGCCACTGCTGCAACAGAGTAATTCAATGAGCTTTCTAATTTTTCTTTAAAAAATAGTAATAGGGAAAGGTACAAAAGAATGTCAGGCAGCCAGTTCCAGGGAAAGTCCAGGAGGAAATGCAAACATCTTCTTAAAAATGCTGATGACAAGACTTCAGAAGCAGTTCTACCCTTCTGATATTTAACTACCAGAAAAGGAAAGCTGGGGGGGACGGGACCAGTTTGTATGGAAAAAAACCCCAGTTGACTTATTTTTACAGCAGCCTTTCAACCTCCCCCCGCAAAAGAAAAAGAAAGAAAAAGAAAGAAAGAAAGAGTTTTACAACAGTTCTTAGTTTTGTTACATGCACACTTTGTAGGACAGCCACTAAACACGCTTCAGTGATGCTGACATAAGCACAGAAACTGCAGAACCACATACAACCAAACAGTAACAGTGACCTTGTTATGATGCAAGCGTACCTTTAAACTGACCTGAGGTTCTCAATAACGGCCTCTTCTTTAGGTGGGTAGTTTAACCCATAAACAAAAGCTGTTTTTACCGGGACTCAAACTTATGGGGTTCAGATTCCAAATAAGCAGCTGGGAGTACATTTGATTTGAGATCTTTTAAATAAAAGATTCAGGTTTCCAAGTTCTCTCTGCTCCCACCTCTGTGTGTTACTAGTGAAAACTCCACTCTAAGAGGAAGGCTGCTTGATTTCCTCTCTGTAAAATTATCATCAGGCGTTATAGCTGGCCTTCAAACAATAAAGGAAAAGTTCTAAACAGAGCACAACTGATGGGTGAAATTTTAAAATGTCCCTAAGTCAAGCCAGTTTCACCTCCAACAATCACCGAAGCAATATTTCTTACTTGCACAGGACTCTTGCATATTTCAATATCAACTGAATCACAAGCACATTTGTTAGAAAGGGTTGGTTCCTACTAAAGCTTAATCCTCGTTCAGGGCCAACTTTAGTTCGTTAGTTAGACGGCGGTTTTGCTCAAGCTGCTGGTAGAGGTGGTCTGTGCAAGTCAGCAAGCGAATCAGGAGAAAAAAGAAGGAGGAAGAGGCAGAAGGAACAGAAGGTTAGAGACAGACCAAAACATTAACCAGAAAAATCACCCCATGCAGACAGCTCAGTAGCCAGAAAGACATTGGAAAAGTGCACGAGTTTCGAGCAATCCTGAGATGGAAACACAGACTTCAAAAGCTCAAACACGTCCAGTGTTAGTGATGGCCCAGATGCTGTTGGACTACAACTCCCATCAGCCCTGACCATTAGCCAAGTTAGCTGGGACACATGGAAGCTGGAGTCCAGTAACAGCTGGAGGTTCCTCATGCTCTTGTTACAGGCATGGCAGGAAGAACAGCCTACCGTCAAAGGTGGGCAATGCGCTCACCGCCAATAACCACGTTAGAAGATGACTGTTCATAAACTGGAGAACCACCACTCCTTTCTGCAATGGGGGACGGTGGGATAGCATGCATCGGGGCTAGGCAGAGCCATTAAGGGTTGGCAGGCCAGGAGATGGCCAAGTATCAGGCTTGGGGCACCATTCAGAAGATAGTCTTTCCCACACTGGCCAACCAAAATCTTCCACCCCATAATTCATCCCAGCTTTCCACACCTCTGAGTTGTTCACCGAAGTTCCAGAGCCCTGAACAGAAGCCTTGCCCTATAGCAGCTTCCTGATGTCCTAGGAGGCTGTGGCATTTCCCTGGCAATGTAAAGGCTGCAGCCGGACTTTATTTGTGGCTAACTTTTTCAAACGCAAACACATTTTACACACGTTAGACACATTTCTCTGAACTTTCTCCCACTGATTTCTCCCACTTTCTTCAGGGTTCTCCCTCTTTCCATTTTATCCTCACAGCAACCCTGTGAGGTTAGGCTGAGAGGCAGCAAATTGAACCCTGGTCAAACTAAGGCCCAGGGGACGGATGCGGCCCAATCGCCTTCTAAATCTGGCCCGTGGACAGTCCAGGAATCAGCGTGTTTTTACATGAGTAGAATGTGTCCTTTTATTTAAAATGCATTTCTGGGTTATTTGTGGGGCATAGGAATTCATTCATTATTATTTTTTCAAAATATAGTCTGGCTCCCCACAGTTTGCTGACCCCTGAAAGTCCAACACTCTAACCACTACCCCATGCCGGCTCCATTGTTGAAGAGACAGCACCCAGAAGCCTCTATGATAAGATCCAAGTGAGACAGGCTTTCCTGCTTGTGTGAAAAGATCCCTTTATGGTCTCTTTATAGTGGCTAGCCAAAGGGCAGGATGTTGGATGCATCATTCAAAAAGAAGTTTTTGGACAGCTCTTCACTGCCTCCTTTTATCCCCAGAACAACCTCAAATATTCCATAAGATATGCATATGTTTATGAGACTGCATTTTTGTAAGCTGCCCTGCAAATGAGGGTATATAAACTGGGTAATATTACACTGGACAGAATATGACCACAGGAATCATATTGCCGGGAGATACGTTTGATGTGATGACTTTCAGTACTTCAGCTGCCCTTTTATATTTCTTTAAGTAATTTATTGGTAATTTGTAATGTAATTGTTATATGTAATTTATTGGCATTGAACTCTATGGCCTGATTCTTTTACGTAACATGTTGCTTTGAGATTTTGATACAAGGCGATGAACAAGCTAAATACATATATGACCATGGAGAGGCTAAGGCTTGCCCCTACATTGTTTTCTCAACATATTTCAAGTATATAAAAATAATAACAGTTAACACATTTATGGTTAACCAGTGAACTAAACAAACATAGAAGCCCAGTAACAAAAGTGTGACACAGAAGTGAAATAAGTCATGATAAGAATAGAACAAAACCGGTAACACGTCCATTTTCATTGATGAAATTAATTTGCGTTACCATGAAACCATCCATGTATTATGAAGTAGAATCAATTCTCACAAGAAACTTCACCAAGGCATTGTGTCCTTTGGCGTGTATCAGTGAGATCATACATCTGTTAAGTATCATGTACATGAGTGAAATATGTGTCCAAGTGGCTCTCTCAAATCAAGGTACAGATGCTCCAATGGACCAGTTATTTCCAATAGCTATGGAGGAAGCCACCAGCCTCAATTTCTCTTGCTTTGGTTGTTGGGACTCTCAATGAGCAGCTTAATGTTGGGGTGCTAATAGAAAGGGCAGGCCTGTTGCAGCCTTCCAAATTTGGTGTTCTCCATATATTTTGAGCTACAACTCCCATCAGCCCCGAGAACTGGCCCTGCTGGCTGGGGATTAATAGAGTTCTATTCCAAAACATCTAGAGGGTGCATTCTTGATGTGAGAATGCCTTTTAGATATACTTTATTTGTATTCATATTTTTATCTTACTGCTATACACATTTATTTCTATACATACTTTCCCTCACATACTCTCCCTCCAAATAATTTCAGAGCACTTACAAAAAAACAAAAAACAAACAAATAAAATACACTTTAAATAAAATACGTATTTAAAAACATTAAACCACTGTAGAATTCTACCCACCATAGCCAGTAATATCTATTATTATTCTAAGCTGGGGCCCTGGGAAAGCATGCAGGTCTTCAAGCAAGTTTTCATCAGCTAGCAAACTTCTACTGTAAGCATCTCAGAAGATGTGCATTACTTAATGATATGTAAATGTCACAAATAAATAAATAAGACTGGCCCGGTGACAGGAAACACAATATACAGTTGTATATTGGAAGTCAAACAGAATCCGTTCCAGAAGTCCGTTCGGCTTCCAAAACGTTCAAAAACCAAAGCGCGGCTTATGATTGGCTGCAGCCCATTGGAAGCCCTGTCGGACGTTCGGATTCCACAAGAACGTTTGAAAACCATAACACTTACTTCCAGGTTTCAATCTTTTGGGAGCCAAGGCGTTCGAGATCCAAGGAACAACTGTACATATCTATTCAGAATTTGATTACAAATTTGTTTAATGGGATTACTCTCAAGTAAGTGGGCATGCACCCACTTACTTGGGAGTAAGCAACACTGAATTCAGCTGGGTCTAGTTCCAAGCAGACATTCACAGGACTGCAATGTTAGCAATGTTTCTTCTCATATGAGGATTATGCTTTCCTCATTTATCTTCACATTACATGGATGGCTTATGATGAGGATTCAAATAAAATCGAATTTTGCCAGCTAGCCACCAGTTAATTCTGGAGCATTTCCATTTTTCACAGATGAAACAATTATTGTATTGAACGTATCATCACATTTTCTTACTGTCCTGTCCGTATCATGACTTATTTCCATTTGATCACTCTTGCAGATTTGGAGTTGCTTGCCTGCCTAGGTCTTCAGAGGAAGACAACCGTTTTGCAAGCCAAATACCACCCTGGCAACCAGCTGGCCAACACCTTCACCAGTAGGGAAATATTTCCAGCCAACAGCTACACTGGGCAATTCCCCAACCACAGACTGATCCACGATGGTCCAAACCAATATGAGTTCAGCCTGTGACATGTGAAAAATATATGTTCAAAAACCTTCTAATGAACACTTTGTAACTGACCAGCTGGGAAGAGAGGAGAGAGCCTATTAAAGAGGACTTTTCTCAGCCTCAGCTCTTTGCTCAATCTGGGTTTTCAGCTTCCTTTGTTGGATGTGGTTTTGCAACCTTCCCCTTCGATCACCTCCAGAATCATAAGCGTTAGAACCGTGTTTATTTTTAAGTGGAAGCTGAGATTCTCAGTTCTGAGAGCGTCCACACACAGAAGCCTGGCTACAGTGGACTTTCACCATATGCAGAGACCCTTAGTTCTGAGCTGACAGGCTTCCAAATGCCCACACTTTTAAACAAATACTTCTTAAGAATCCAGCTTATATTGTCTCACCTGGCTAAGAGGGAGGGAGAAGTCAAGGAAGAAAAAGGAAACTCGCTTTAAAAAGGAGACCCTTTTTCCATCCAACAATGAGAGGTTACACTACGGAGGCTGCATTCTTGGATTAAAGACAGGAGGTTTGTGAAATGGGATGAGCGGGGAGGGTAGAGTGGAAGAGAGAGGCAAAAAATAAACTAAAATAGAAAGTAAGAATAAATCCCTAATGGCGAGAAAGCAGATTTTTTTATTTTATTCATACTTGAAATGATGGAAATAAATAAAAGAAATAGCAAAAGAGATACAGCTTACACAGTGGGATTCTTTTTTTATTTTACACTGAAGGTTGGCCAGTTTCTGTACAGTCGAAAAGGCACAGAAGAGGGAGGAGAGAGGAAGAGACAGTGTTCACCCCACGTCCTGCGAGCAAAGGGAGAGCTAGGAGGAAAAGGTTAAAGGGAAACTGGGCGAGAAGGACAGGACCGTGTACTGAGAAACAGCCAGCAGCTTGGAAAAGATGGGTTGTCCAGCGTGACGAAGGTGTCTTTGGAGGAGTGAAGCAAAGACATTTATCTGCACAGAGATAAAAGAAAGGAAATGAAAAAAATGGCATCATGGATGGCGTGGAAAAGGAAGCAGCAAGGGGGAGGAGCAAGACAGGAGAGAGGCAACAGGTCAGAGAAACAAAGCCGGCTTTGATCAGAGGGTTGCTCCTGCTGTAATGACACATTTCACAGCTGGGGCTGTCAGCCCTCCCAAACTGGGGTGGGGTGGGGGGCTGCCAGAGCCAACATTTTTCAGTACCTCCAAACACTGCACTCAGAACATGCCTTGCTCATCATGACAAATTTATGCAAATCAGCCTGGGAGGGAGGGGACTTTCAGCTCATGGGCGTCTTAATTGCACCCCCCCCACACTTTAGAGTGACTGACGTGACAAAGAAGATGACCGTCAGTGTAAGGGGTGCAGGGTTGGTTGGAGGGAAGAGGCCAATTGCCTCCACAAGCACTCTTGGCAGGTATTTCTTTTTAATATTCACAATTAATATTCACTTTCAAAACATATACAAAAAACGGTGTTAAATACATCTATTTCTGCAGCTTGATTCAGAGTAACTCTTGGCACACACCATTGAGTCAAAAGCAACCTGGTGCTCTCCAGATGTTGCTGGACTCCAACTCCCATCAGCCCCAGCCAGAATGGCCAGTGGCCAGGAATAATGGGAGCTGGAGCCGAACACTGCAGGGGGCAGACCAGGGTGGAGAAGGCTGGAAGACCCTCATCCACACACCTGCTATTTCAAGCCAGCCATATCCAACTTCCTCACCTGCCTTTTCCAAATTCCCTCTCAGGCAGGACCTGGAAAAAAATCTCTACTTTCTCTAGCCAAGAAGGTTATTGTGTTAGTGTGCAATGTTCAGTCAATATGCAAAAATTTAAAAGTACTGAAATTTTGCAAAGAAGCTAGCCATGCAATTTGGGAAGTAGGTTGAGATTTCCCCTTTTGCTGTTTTTAAATAAGTTAACAAATTTATTGTTACGAGTTCTCAGTACAGGACAGTTGACTTCTGCTCAGCATTTCTTAAGACATTATAAAGCAAATCGACCCCACAGACTCAAACTCCCAGCAATTTCCACTATTTATGGGCTACTTGTTTTATGGGCTACTTAGGTGTTCTAAGACGCAGCTCTGATGGTACATTATTTAAGCAATTTCTATGCCTTTTTTCCTTTCCCTAACTAGGGAATAATTATTTCAAAGAAACCTGCATTCCATCTTTAGACCATGCCCAACCAGTGGGAAGAAGGCAGAGAGTGAAAGCAGCAGCTCCCTTTGGCCGCTGGAATACACCAATCCTAAGCCCCCAAGATCTCTCCACAGAAATAAGATATATGGACTGCAACAAACTGCAAACTCATCCTGAGCTGAATTTTTTTTGGGGGGTGGGGGTGGGGGTAGGGAAGGAAGCCAAGATCACCTGATCTCTCACTTTAAAACTCCTTGCCATGTTCTGATAATCAGAGAGTCTAAAAAAATGGGAAGATGTCACTGTTCTCCTAGTGTCCAGCCTATTATGGGAAATCTGCAAAGCAGGATCCCAGTGCAACACAGCAACTCACCCCACTTGTTATTTGTAGCAACTGGTATTCAGAGGCATGTCTGTCCTGAATCTCCAGCCCTTATTTCTCTTAAAGCAACATGCACCAAAGTCTGTTAACTACACTGAACCTCTTGCATAGCAGAAATGCATGAAATAATGAAGCAAAATGATATTGAGAAGCAGGATCCAATAAGTGTGTGGCTGTTTTTAAAAGCAGGTGGCCCGCAGGTAGCATAGTTTATCCAACCTGAAGTATGTTTACTAGGAAGTACATTCCACTGATTTCAACTGAGTTCATCTCCTAGTAGTGGAGGTTAGGAATGCAACCGTAGAAACTTACTAAATTTGGGAACAGAACTTTAGAAATGCTGCAACAGAAGAGAACTTGAAGGAGAAACACTCCCAAAAGGGTGTAGGGAGAGAGCAGGATGGACACACACTTAGGTAAAAATGAGCCTTGTAGGAATGTCAGATAAATTCATCAATCCAAGCATGAAACTTGCCCACTCTTTACTGCGATAGAAAAAGCTCAAAGACCATTGAATTTCCCTCTTGTTAAGAGAGTTTGGTAAGTTGCCCAGCAAAAAGAATTGCACTGGGTGGCTGGGGGACCTCACAGCTGATTGCCAATAATTGTGTTATGAATTTGGCTGCCAGCCAATCTATTGCTGACTAGGAATGCCTTGTGCTCTATGAAACCACGAAACTGGCATGGAAATTATTAGGAGACATTTAACAAACTCTCCAAGATTTTAAAGGCTGGAAGCTTACTTTTATTTAAAACGTTTTCCCCCCACCCTAGATGCTTCCATCAGACCACAGCCATGCCAGCACCAGGCGTGCGGAGAGGCCAGCCCTGCACTAAAGAGTGAGCCAGTTTAACCTGCAAGGCTGCAGCAGCGAGGCGCCTCAGGGGCAGAGGGGCAGGCAGAAACAAGAGGCCAATTACATGGAAGTCATGTCGTTGAGAGCGTGATCCAGCTCCTCGCTGATGGCCTTGTACTTGAGTTTCTGAGCATACAACTCATCTGAGAGTCACCAAGGGGAAGGCAGAAGAAGTGGGAGGAGGAGGAGGAGGCAGTGACCAAGGGTGATGTGGAAGCAAAACACCGTCCGGAAGTCATGGCAGCCAGGAGGGGAGAGATGGAGGTGTGTGGAAGGCGGCAGCGTGTGGCACAGGAGAGGTGTGAGAGAAAGCAAAAGAAAACAGATGAGTCAAATGGGTTCAAAAAGAATTCAAGCAGTGGAGTTGCTAGATGGGGGTAGAAATAATAACAATACAGCAAGCAAATGGTGGGAAACAAAATCGAAGTGATACTGCAAAAACTCTCCTAGATGCTAGCTTTCCATTAAACCTGGATAAAACTTGTTTCTATTTTTCTACATGCATTTGAGCTGTTCCATCTCTGCAGCCAAAAGTTGTACAGTTTAGACCAGCCTTCTCCAAGCCAGTGCCGTCCAGATGCTTGGACTACAATATCAGTTCCAGCATGATGCAACTGTGCTGGCTTGGGGGTGTTAAGAGTTGTAGTCCAAAACATCTGGAGGGCACCAGGTTGGAGAAGTCTGTGGCCTAGACGCAGCTTGAAGCAGAAGTTGCACAGCCCCCCCAAGGAAGGCCAGAAACACACCGGGGCACCAGAATTTCACCAGAGGGAACATTTTTCTCCAGGACTTGTCAAAGTCCTTATCTCTCCTACTGCTCCTTCCGATTCTGTCATTGCATCATGGGGCTTGAACTCTTGGACCTGGTGCCACTGTCACAGGGTCAGACAGCAGATTGGCTCAGCAGAAAGAATAGCGCTGAGGCCCAAGGGGCTCTGAAACCAAACTCCTCCTTTCCCCCGGAGATGTAGGCCCCTCAAGACCCCTTCTACCCTCTCCCTGTTGGAAGCACCAGAACACGCAACCTGGCAAAGTCCAATTCCAAAACATTCTTCCAGTGTAACAGCAGACAACCCCTTCCCATGCAGCAGTTCCCTACAGAATGAGAGCAGGGTCAGGCCTCACACCCTAACAGGAAGACTTGAGGGAAGGCTCTCCAGCAACTACTTCCATTTCCCCAAGTGTCCAACCAACACAGAAGAAAATTCCAAGGACTTATGAAGACCTTGGAAGCAAACGGTGCATGTAACTGCTAAACAGATGCTCCCCATTAACACACAAGCAAGGCTTCAAATGTCGCTGACAGTGGAGTCAGTAGGTGCCACCAAATGGCTGTCTTGACCTTCATTCATCATCTCCATCAGAAAACTATGTCAACTTGCAACATTCCTAATGGGAGCAACTGCAATGCGTCCCTTGGCTGACATTTTCAGCCAGTAATCTTAAGGAACTCATAGCATTTCCTATCTGACTTGTTCATTTTTCACAGTGGAATATTCCACAAGGACCAGGAGGAGGAGGAAGTGGAGTTCAATACTCAAGAGAATGAAGTCTCGAGACACCAAAAGGACAGAGACAAAAGAGAAAGATGCAAAAGTAAAACCTTCTCTGTCTAAAGCCAGTTATCAAACATTCTGAAGCCCCATTTTCAGTCAATTGTTATTCATCTGCCCTGTTCATGCGTTAAAGGTAAAGGTTAAGTCCTGTCAAATCGGACTATGGGGTGCGGTGCTCATCTCACTTTCAGGCCAAGGGAGCTGGTGTCTGTCCGCAGAGTTTTCCCAGATCATGTGGCCAGCCTGACTGAACCACTTCTGGTGCAACAGGACTCTGTGACAGAAGCCAGAGCGCATGGAAACGCCATTTACCTTCCTGCCACAGCAGTACCTATTTATTTACTCGCGCCGGTGTGCTTTTGAACTGCTAGGATGGCGGGAGCTGGGACAGAGCAACAGGAGCTAACCCCGTCACGGGGATTCAAACTGCTGACCTTCCGATCAGCAAGCCTGAGAGGCTCAGTGGTTTAGACCACAGCGCCACCTGTGTCCCCTCCTGTTCAGCCAGCAATCTTCCTCCCTTGCCTAGTGGTCACTTCCGTTCCAGACGCAGTGATGCTAGGGAGGTCTCCCAACCTCTGCTGCCTGGCACTTATGCATGGCAGGCGCTTACCAGTATTGACCAAAAATTAGCAATTGTCCACTGTAAGTGCCTACTTCAAAGATGGAGTTTGCTGTCTCAGCCTTCTAGGTTAGCAAGGGATGCATATAAAGAAACGTACCTTCTAAGTCATCAATGCTCTTCTCCAGCTTAGTTACCGACCTCTCTGCAAACTCAGCTCGGGTCTCAGCCTGGAGGCCAAGAAAACACACAAAGGCAATGGTCAAAAAGCACAAGGAAGGTCTAGGAAAGCTTCTGCATTATGCAAAGAGGCTGGGTGGCGGCAGCAGCAGCAGCAGCAGAATCTTCCAAAACAGAGTGGGAAACCTGCTCCAAATACAACAATATAGCATTTCAATTATTTTTATTTATTCATGTTGTATCTTGCCCTTCCTACCAAAGGAGCCCAGGGCAACAATTATATTTATAGGTGACATCCAATTACATTATGCCCAGAGTAGAACTATTAAAATTTATGGACCCAAAATCAATGGCCTAAAATTGGATGCAGCCCTCTGTTTTTTAGTACATGGAGACCACAAAGGACATTTTCTGATCAGAATGGAAGTTTCCCAATAGCAGAGCAAAGCTCTCATGCCCTCCACTTGGGCAAGAAATAAGATTCTTCAAAATCTCTTAAAAGCTGCAGGGAAAAGAGGGTTGGCTTCTGTCTCAAGGATACAGCGGCATTTTTACCTCTTTCAGTTTGTCAGTAAGGACCTTGATCTCCTCTTCATACTTGTCTTCCTTCTGCGAGTACTGTAGATTAAGCAGACCAATGGAAGGTCAACTGAGCAGACATGGGCAGCACTGAGGTGGCAACGTCCAATATCTTTACAATCACAAATTGAAAGACCACTAAAAATAACTGCATGAAAGGAAACCAGCAAAACTGCAATGCCAGGAGTAAGTGTTCAGATTTCATTGTGCAAGCCTAAGCAATATCCTGTTGTAAGCTAAATGCATTAACAGTGGAAAAGCTTATAACAGGAATGGCCCTTCAAATATTGCTGGACTCCCAAATCCCACCACCACTGACCATTAGCCACACTGCCTGGGTCACTGGCTCCCCACCCTGGCTTATAGCTCTGGCTCAAACCAGCTGTTTCTGCAGGACTGCACAATCTCTCTCATGCCGGGGGGGCGGGGGATCTGGAAAGAGGTTTGCACTGCAGCACAGAACTCCTGACACAGGATGATTAAAAGATAGCCTATTGGGTTCCTTGTTCAGCTTCATAATGCTACAAGCCACATTTCACACTGAAGTCACAGTCTGTTCTTGAAAGCATCCATTGCCGATTCTCAGAAATCCAGTTAAAGGGTCAAAGACACACAGCTTTCATCTGGCAACAAGTGACTGTTGACGCAGGCTTTTGCTCTTTCTCTCTTTTTAGAATAGTAATAAGAAATCCACTTTGCAACCCTAAACAAAACTGTTATTATACTGTTTTATTATTTTATTGATCTAGAGAATGCTTTTACAGTTCTGTTTTACTGTAGGTCTCAGTAGAGAGAGCAGTGCTTTGCTTGCAGAAGATCTCAAGTTCAATCCCCAACACCTCTCAGTTAAACTGATCTCAAAACAGAAGAACATGGAAATGTGCTTCTTTGCCCAAGACCTGACAGCAGCCCTCTGGACACAGCTAGGTAAAGAGTCATCTGAGGAAGCTTCAAAACCCATCCAATCTGTATTGCATTCACTGCAAGTATCAGCTTGGGAGCTTTGGGTGATTAAGGTCAGATAGATAGATAGATAGATAATACTTTATTCGGCTATAAGCCCACAAGGTAAAACAAATCAATAGATAAAAATCAATAGATAAAATCAATAGCATTTTACAATCTAAAATATCAACTAAAATATTTCAACGCATAATCTCTAAATGTACCGTGTTATGGCCTTGAAGATAAAGATGGTGCATAGAGTTTACTGAATTTTTAATAGTCATGCAGCATTCCCTGAAGTCTTTTATATGACAGAACTGAGATCAGGAATCTAGCAACCTGTAAAGTTCTATAAGAGTCAATGTCCTGGAGTAGATAAGCTAGATGTAATTCAGGTGGTTTAGCAGCAATTTCCAGGATGATTGAACTCAGGATCCTTGATCGGGGAACATTGTATAAGGGGCAATTAAACAAGATATGATAAAGGGATTCTATCGATTTGTTGTCACATGCGCACAAAACAGAGATTTTACCGTTAGAAAATCTATTGCTCAGCACATTTGAGGGGAACACATTAAATCTGGCTCTAACAAATGCGAATCTATGCGACGCAGCCGATAAAGTAGACAGATATCGAGGTATCTGGGACATAGATGTAATGCCCTGATATATCGGGGAACATGTACCTCCACCTGTGGTAAGATTTTGTTGTAAATCTACATCCTCCAATCTTTGTTTGATGACCTTTTTAGCTGTAATTAGATCTAAATTAAGTATATCGGAGGGAGAGATTCCATAAGACAACAGTTTGGAATGGATTTTTGTTGCCCATGGGCTGGTGAATTCATCTCTCCAAAGGCACTGAATAAGATGGTAGTTTGGCAATTTATGCCAAAGGGACAGCCAATAATTAAAGGCATGTCTCCACATCAGAATCTCAAGGGAGGGGTCTTAAGTTCTAAGCGAATGGCAGAGTTGCTTACACAGGAGGGTAGTTTCAAAAGGCGTCTTAGAAAAGATTTTGCAATGTCACCAGAGGCAAGAGGTTTACAAAGACGCCCCATAAAGGGACCGCATAGGCCATAGTTGCAACCACTTTTGCACTATAAACTTTTAAGGCGGATGGAACATGCATAGCCCCTCAGTAAAGAAGAAGCGTACTATCGCGTAGATAAGGGCTTACACCTTGTTTTGTAAATATGTGATATCCGCTTTCCATCCCATTTTATACTGGAAGTAAATTCCTAGATATTGAAATTTGTAAACTTGTTCAATTGGCTTCCCTCAAGTTCCCATCTATACAGTTTACGACTCCTGGAAAAAATTAGGACTTTAGATTTGGAATGGTTAATAGTAAGTAAATTTGTTTGGCAATATGATGCAAAAATCTTAAGGGCCCTCCTCAAACCGATTCGAGAATAAGAGAGGATCACCGCATCGTCAGCGTACAATAATAAGGGGCAGCGATAGTCTGCAAGCCTGGGTGCATGAATGGAGGTTTGGGCCTCAGATAGGGGGCAAGGATACACCCTTGTCGTACCCCCTTGTTTATTGGAACTGAGTTTGTTAGATCGCCCTCAGGTGTTAACCTCACCCTAGCAGCCGTCCCTTCATGTAATTTAATCAATAGCCACAACAGCCTTTTTCTATGCCCCACTTTGCCAGTTTTTCCCATAACAGCTCTCTAGAGATACTGTCAAAAGCCGCCTTCAGGTCTATAAAAGCGGCACATAGAAGACCATGAGTAGGGGAAGAGTATTTCCGCGCCAAATGATATAGAATTATAGCATGGTCAATGGAAGCGCGATTTGGTCTAAACCCGACCTGTTCATGGCCTATCAGATTGGAATCTTCGGCCCATTGGGTTAGTCTGGTTAGCAAGAAGCGAGTGTAGATTTTTCCGATGATTGATAATAAACTGATATTACGATAGTTTCCTGGGTCCTCTGGTGGTCCTTTTTTATATATAGGAATTATGATGGACTCCTTCCATGATGTAGGTATCTGGCCCGTGGCATTGATTGCATCAAAGATTTTTGCAAGAATTTTAGCCCACCATATTGGATGTTGTTTAATAGCTTCCGCCGGGATCAGATCGGGCCCTGGGGCTTTGGTGATTAAGGTCACATTCACACCAAACATTAAAAGTGCAATGATACCACTTTAAATGGTCATGGCTTACCCCAAGGAATTTTGGGAGCTGTAGTTTGTTAAAGGAGCTGAGAGTTACTAGGATACTTCTATTCCCCTGCAAAGAGCTACAATTGCCAGAGCTCCCCGTGAAGAGGGATTATTACAATTATTAAGGAATTGTAGTTTCAGGAGGGAAACAGGGGTCTCTCCCAACTACTCTCAGCACCCTTAACAAACTGCAGCCCCCAGATTTCTCTGAGGGAAGCCACAACTGTTTAAAGTAGTACCCTAGTACTTTTAATTGTATGGTGTGAATGTGGCATTAGAAGCATCAGAAATGTGGCAAGTAAAATATAAAAAAAGAGTACTCGGGAAATAAATTCCCCACTGGAGGCACCAGGACTTGCTTCAGAATAAACATTCTGACAAGTGGCCTGGAAAGCCCATCATGTAACATTTGCACCTTTCGCAGCTAGACCATACCTTTTCTGCCTGAGCTTCCAGCGACCTCAGGTTGTTGGTCACAGTTTTCAACTCCTCTTCAAGTTCAGCACATTTGCTATTATTTTGGAATGGAGGGAGGAAAAGGGCCAAGAGGAAGAACAGTCATTGGGGGAGGGGGGAGGGAAAGAGAGGGAAGAAAAGATAGAGAAAAATGAAAACTGAATCTCAGAGTTTAAGAAAGGGCCTTAAAAGAAGCTGAACCCACTTGAGATCAAAGAGATAAATTAATCGCAGAACCCAAAGTTGCTTTGAAGGACTCAAAAATATTGTCCACAAATCTGCTATGCTACTGGGGCATCACACACGTGCTCTGGGTTGGGTGAGCCAAGAGTCCCTGGGGGAAAGGCCCCCAAATGAACGCTGCCACATTTCAGCAGGGCCAAAATGGCAATTTTCAAACTGTCTGCAGACCTGCAACCATCTTCTGTCTGGATTTTCCATGGAATTCTCTTTCTGCACTCAGGAGCCAATGCAGATGTGACTTGTACAAGCACAACTGTGGGTTTTAAAATAGCCAGGTTGATTCAGAATAATTTATTCTGCCAACGCCAGATGTTCTGGACTACATCTCCCAACAGCCCAAGCGGCAGGTGTAGTCCAGAACACCTGAGGGCTGACTTATCCAAAACTCTTCAACCAACCCAAGAGGTTCAGCTTCTTCTTGGGGCTCGATCAGATACAAAAAAGGTTAAGCACACACCTGTGCACACACACGCCAGCATCCACACCAGAGACGAGAGAAAGCAAACACAGGAGAGGAAGGAGAAGGATAAAGGGGAGATCCAGCCACTACTGCTAAGAGGCATCTAACTAGAAGGTCAGGGTAGCCGGGAGATTTGGGTGGCAGCTAAAAAAACCTGATCATTCGGTTCACAGATACAGAGGTATGTTGTCTCCAGTACCTTCTCCTCAGCAGCCATTAATGCTTTCAACGTTTGATCCATTATCCTTAACTGTTCCTCCAGCTGTCGGGCTTGGCTGTTAGTGAACACATGAAAATGCACAAGAGCCATTCACAAAACAATCCGTGTGCGAGCAAAAAAGCATGCAGTGACCCAGACCAAATAAGAGAGGCCCCCAGAGGAAACGATTCAGACACCACGGAAGCGCACAGACGTACGCAGGCGCAACGACACGCACACACACTCAGGCGTGCCAAGGCATGCAGCAGACCCCCGCAGCTGCTGCTGGAAGATAGCCAGTCACCGTCCCGCACCAGACACTCATGTACTGCGACATAAATCACACTTGCCGCACGGACCCCAGAGCCCTTTTTTAATCGGCCAGGAAGTGGCCCCTACCTTTCTGACAGTTCAGCCCGCTCCTCCGCACGCTCCAGGTCGCTCTCAATGATCACCAGCTTACGAGCCACCTATAGCAATGGGGAAAGCAGAAGGAGGGGGGAGGCTCAGGGCTCAGCAGCAAGATGGAGACTGCGATGGAGAATCATCTCCCAACAACATCTGGAGGGCAACAGGTCAGGGAAGGTTGCCCCAAGTAACTGTGCTGACCGTACTTGAGACACCACAGCAGGGAGGTGGAGAGGGAGACCATTTCAGAAGGCAGGAAGCCAAGGTCAAGTCCCCAGCTTCAGGAGGTGGTGTACAACTCCCAGCGATCCTGCCCTTGTGAAATTTCAGCACACACACTCAAACGCTTGCTAGGCAAAAGGCATCACTTTCCGCCCCCCTCTTGTGGGCTTCCTCCACAAAGCTTCTCCGCTCAGATCCTTGCTGTCTCTCAGTGGGTCACCCTGCCACCCCATGCCTTCTGCAGGGCATCTCAGGTCTCCCTCCTCACTGGTCCTCCTTGGAAACAGCAGCCAAACCGAATAACCTCCCAAGGGCCCCCGGCTGCGCTCAAGTACCCACCTCTTCATACTTGCGGTCGGCGTCCTCAGCAATGTGTTTGGCCTCCTTGAGTTGGATCTCCTGGATCTCCATCTTCTCCTCATCCTTCAGGGCTCTGCTCTCAATGACCTTCATTCCTCTGGAAGGCAGAAATTACAAGGGTTGGAAAACATCTTGCTATTGAAGGCCCAGTTGTGTCTCAACAATTCTGCTCCCCCCCCAAAAAAAAGTTATTTCTGTGACCTATAGGCAAATCAGCATGGCCTCTCTGATTTTGCCTAATTCATGCTTCCCTGGATAGTCCTGGGGTATAAAGCACCTGCCTCCAACCCACTGGAAATCCTCTGCAGCCATCTCTCTGGCTAGGGAAGTTTCAACAATTTTAAAACACTATTAAGGACTTCCCACAAGTGCCTTCCTCACTGGTGGGCTGAAATTTTGTTTCCCCCTCTAGCTCATTGCGCTTTGGGGTACCAAAATTAAACTTCAAGATAGTCCAGCTATCTAGTACATGTATGGCTGCCACTCACTCGTATGGGAAAGAAGAATTTGGTGCCACCCTTCCATGCTTGGCAGCGACTGGCTCAGCCTCTGCTCACAAATACTTTGCAGGGGTGTAAAAGGGTACAAACTTCCCTTCAAAACACACAGCTACTTACAACAACAGGCTATTTGCTAGTTTCCTTTTTTTTTTTTTAAGCCGGTGTTCAGGGAATTCCCATTTGCACAGGGGTGGCATTCTGAGGCACTGTATGCATCAAGAGGACTGTGGAAGCCAGCCCCATGCCCTTCTGGGGCTGAAAATGGTGTGCGGGTCAGTGGTCATGCATGCCTCAAATGCGCACAAAGGGGGGGGGGTTAACTGTATAAATTTGGAGAAATTTAATAAAATAATACCCTGGTGGACTGGGCCCCATGTCGGAGTGCGTGTGCATGTATGTATGCTTGTGTCCACATTCACACCATGCAGTTGAAGCACAATGATACTACTTTAAAAGGTCATGGCCTCCCCCCCAAAGAATTCTGGGAGCTGTAGTTTGTTAAGGGTTCTGAGAGCACTTTGGAGATCCCTATTCCCCTCAGAGAGCTACCGTTCCCATAATGATTTAACAATCCCTCTTCTCAGGGAACTCTGGGAGGATATGGATGTGTGAAGGATATGGATGTGTGAAGATTCAGGTGCCCCACCCTAGGTTCCCCCTTGCCAAGATATGCTGTGCATTAGGGTGCGTGGCCCAACACAGCCAAGGCTAAAAGGCAGGCCAGGCCACAGCAGCTGCTATGCTCCTGCCTCACAACTGAGGTGGTTTTTTTTTTTTTGAGATTGGACAACAGTTGGAGGGCTATCCCCACCTTTCGCTCTCATCTGCCGCCTTCTCAGCCTCCTCCAGTTTCTGCAAGGCTGTTGCCAGGCGCTCCTGGGCACGATCCAACTCTTCCTCTACCAGTTGGATACGCCTGTTCAGAGAAGCCACATCGCTCTCAGCCTGCGGAGAAAGGAAAACGCCGTGACTTTTGAGGGAGCCCAAGAGGTTGTTTGGGAAGCACACTGTGAAGAGGAAAGGAGACCTCAGCCAGCCCCCCCCCCCGGCGTCCTTCAGGTGTTTTGGACTATAACTCCCAGAGCTGTAAGTCTGAAACATCTGGAGGGTGCCAGGCTGGGGGGGAGCAGACGGAAACAAATAGGGGAAAGTGGTGTTTTGAGGGGGTTAGCAGAGAATAAGCAACCAATTCTTAAAGTAGGGGATTCTTTAAAAAAAAGCAGACTGTGGCCATGTGTCCCCATCACCGCTTGCCTAATCTGTTAGAATATTGCTCAACTCTTTCCTTTCCATGCGAGTTACTTCATGATACACGTCAGGCAGGTCTGATCCTTCACTCACTGAGGGATCAAGAGCCACTTTCACTTATCGACAGTCAAAGAAAATGGACCCCCCCCCCATCTTTTAGAGTTAAAACGTGAAGGATGGGTCTTATAGATGAAGGGCAAGAACACAAAGGGTGGGGAGACGAGGCCCAGCAACTGCCCTTTACAGATGTGCTGCCCTGGATGCAACTCCTCCTGCTTCCAAAACTTAGATCAAAAGTGGCCAACACAGCACCCTCTGTATGTTCTTGGATCCACCAACTTCTAGAGGGCACCATGTTGGCTACCATCATTCCAGATTGCAAACTTCTTGGGGCAGAGAGCTGTCTTCTCCTTCGCACCAGCCTGACATACTTCCAGACTTTTTGCTCAAATCATGGAGTAAGGACGGAATTGCATTTCCCCCATGAAAAGCTTTGGGGTCTCTGCAAGGCATAAGCAGGCCATGGGAGTTTCTGGGAGTCCTGGACACGACCCAAAGAGGCAGCTCAGACTCCTGGCTGCTTCTCCAGGGCTGGGCTGATGTTGAATTCTCAGCTAAGTCAGCAAGAGAAAAAACCACAGCGCACGGGGAAGTGGCCTGCACTCTCTGTGCCAGAAAGGGCACCAGTCAGTAGCTCCAACCCAACTTGTGGTGACCCACGTGGCAAATATGATCCTATCAGGGAGGGGGAAAGAGTTCAATACTTTTTATACAACTTATTTTACAAGGAATGTCATTCCCTACAATTTTTATTCTAACATAAGATATGAGCAAACCAGACTACCTAATTTCAAATACTTCCACAAGTTCACAGCGACATGTCAACTTTGATGGAAACTCCACTGTGTGCAAGAGAGCTTACTCACTAGGAAGTGGGTTTAGGACTGCAACCTAAGCCACATTTTCATGCTCTTCTGCAAACTCAGTTGCTGTGGTTTTTGATGCAATAGCCTCACTATTGCTTAGGATCTCCAGTGCAAAAAGATCAGGAATAAATACAAGTTTCTGGAAGTCAAAAGGGCGACGCCACATTTCAATGCACTGAGCTCCTGTTCACTTGGGTGGGGCCTGCACAGAATAACTTCCTGGGCCGGCGTGGCTGAAGCAGAGTCCATGTGTGCTTTCCGAGGCTCTCAGTGTTACAGTACTTTCATCTCTGGGGAGGGGGAAACTGGCAAACAACCCTGGTCTCAAGTGTGGAAAAAACCGCTTAGGCAGCCCAGTTAATAATTACATCAAAACTGATCTCAACCCAGTTGCAGTCTGCAGTGATTAAAGGTCAGTATCCCACTTCCTGTTCCCAAAGCAGAAAGTCAGCCGAGGCTTGCTTGTAGTTTCCTTGAAAGTCCCAAAATTATGGCCTTGCTCTCCCCCCCCCTCCGCCTTTCCCCCCTCTTTCTGCAAAGCAGGGCTTTTCCTTATATGGTAAAGAAAACTACCCATGACACCGGAGGGGCACTCCCAGGGCTAGCCGATAAACACAAGTTTCTGGTCTGTGTTTGCTCATAGTTTCACTATGAGAAGACCAGGGATTAATGATTGCTGCTGGGCTTGACAGCAACTATTTCCCTCCCCCTCCAGTCGTCATTCTGAAGTGAATGGGAAGGGAACGGCACCCTCCACCCTGCAGAGACTCCCCTTCAACAACTCTGCTAGTTACCTGATCTCTCAGGTATATCCTGACAGGATTTGGAATTTGCACAATACACTGGCCATTTCTTACAGCCTGGCCTCTAAGAGCTTGCCTGCTCTCCAGCCCTGCACTCCCATTCTGCAGCAGGCTAGACAACATTTTTACAGACTATCAACTTTTGTGGACTTACTTAAACGACCTTGGCTTTAAAAGTCCTTGGGTTGATTATATATCTCCACCCCCCACCCCCCCAGGATGGCTTCTACATTATTTTCATGCTGCTGGAATTTGTTAAATGAGTTGATCTGGACATGCGTTTGGGGGAATTTTTTTTTTAAAGGAATCATGTTTGCTTTAATCTGCTTTTACTACTGTCTATTTGCTGCCTCCAGTTTCTTTGGAGAAACAGGCAAGCAAGAAAAACGTAAAAGATACATACAAGGCTTCCTTAACAAGCAATGTTTTCTCAGATGCTGAGATGAGCCCCCAGGCATAGGACTGCAGCCTGAATTGCAAAACCATCTAAGTCAGGGATGGGGAAACCTGGACCCCAAGTCCCAGCAGGCAGCATGGCCAATGGTCAGAGACGGCAGGAGTTGGAGTCCTGCTCCATCTAGAGCCCACATCCCGGAGCAGCCCTGGCTTCGGGTTCCCCTGCCCCTCCTCTTCTCATCCCCGCCTCCCTCTGCTTTGCATGGTGATCAAGCAAACAAGTGGGTCACCTGCCATTAAGTCAAGCATCCACCCCACATGGCACCTGCCCAACTAAATGTTTGCTGCAGAGAAAAGGGCAGGATCCCAGCAGGCAAACAGGAACAGCAATGAAGGCCCCACCTGCACTATACACTTAAAGCATCCCTTTTAATAGCCATGGCTTCACCAAAGAACCATGGGAGCTGTAGTTTGTTAAGGGTGCTGAGAGTTGTGAGCAGGCCCCCATTCCCCTCAAGAGAACTACAGCTCCCAGAGTTCCCCGAGAAGAGGGATTGTTAAACCACTCTGGGAACTGCAGCTTTGTGAGGGGAATGGGGTCTCCTAACACCTCTCAGTAGCCTCAACAAACTAAAAGTTCCCAGGATCCTTTGAGAGAAGTGATGGTGTGGCACCACAGTGCTTGAAATGGAGGCGGGAGGGAGCTGCTGGCATCCTGAACATTTTGTTGCAGGTGCCGCTTTTTTTCAGCTTGTGTCTTAACAAAACAAAACAAAACAAGTCCTGATCTGAACACCTGTATGGCAACCCTGTGCATAGCAGCCATGTGAAACTCAGCCTTGTAGCAAAGGAAACCAGATTCAAAGATGTTCACATTGGTTTTTCTAAAAAAATGGTACCAACATCAATATGCATATTTACTTAGAAGTCAAGGGAGATTATACCCATGTAAATGAACACAGGATCACAGCCTGAATGAAACTGGCTAGCAATGCTCAGGGAAGTTGCCCATCACCCAGGCGTCCATGATGTCTGAGTCACCAGCTGCACCTGCTCAAGGCAGAGTTCTTTTGTGGGTGAATCTCAGAGAGCATGCTTGAGAATTTGCAGCCCAGAGAGCACAACCACACACTAACAACCTGGATGAAGAGAAAGTTGCACAAAAAGCAGGGCAGGAAAGTGCACAAATAGGGGTCTTTTTCAATAGTAATGGTGGCTAAGTGGAATCTCCATGTTCAGCAGCAATGTATCTTTGAATGCTACTTCCTGGGGAGCAACAGCAGAGTGCTACCTCCTTTGTGGACCCCCCAGGAAGTTGGCTACCACAGGAAACAGGATGATGAGCTAGAGAAGCCTTTAAAGGCTGATCCAAAAGAGCTCTCTCACGGGTGGCATACGCAGAAAGTGACAAGGGAGATTTGTCTTTCAGCAAATACCAAAGGGCAGGAGTCACAATCCAAAGAAACTGGGTGGTTGCAGGAGAGTTTTGTCATTTTAAGTACACTGTTAACCTGCAGAATTATCTGCCACAGGGAGCTGTGGTGTCGAGTAGCAAAACCATTCCTTACACCAGGAAAGGACACAACAAAAGGTGGGAGCATATTCTCCCAGATTAGGAGAGTCAGGGCAGGAGCAATGACCCCCAGATGTTGCCAGGGTTCCCAACACCCAGCAAAGCTGGCAGCCAGCATGGCCAGGGTTCAGGAGAGGTGGAGAGCAGTATTCTAGCAACATCTGGAGGGCCAAAGTTTGGCTGAGCAACTCCCCTGGCAGGCAACAAGGAATGCCATGGGGGTGCATGAATGGTCTGGCCCTCCCCCATCAGCCCACTTCATTCCCACATTGGCCATGGAGAAGAGGGGGAGGGAAATGTTTTTCCATAACCAGCACCCCTCATGCCCCAATCTGCTCTGCAGAAGGCTTTTATTACTATTGCTATTTTTTGCTAGCCTACTAAGAGAACTGATAGGACAGATGATGTTTCCATTCTGTAGGAGGAGGCGGCCATCCAATGGGCCATTGTGAGAAACAGATGCAGGGCCAGAAGGGTCTTTGGCCTGATCCAGCAAAGCTATTCTTATGCTCTTTGATCTGATCCAGCAGCAGGACTCTTCTGATGTTCGCTGAGGAAGAACTCTAGTCCGGGGTGCGGAGCATCCTCCAAATGTTGCCTGACAACAACTCCCATCATCCCTGACCTTGCTGATGACTGCAGCTGATGGGGGAATGGACTCCAACACCTTAAGGAGGGCCAAAGGGTCCTCACCCCTCCTCTGGTCAACAAATTTGCACAGGCATAACACACAATGTTGTTTGCACCTAATACTGTGACCCTCTATTAGGAACATGCCAAAATGAATGTTCAGCTGCCTTTCGGGGCTGGGTGCAGTGCAAGATGTGCACAGAGGGGGGTGGTCTCTCCTTCATTGGGGATGGGGGGCCACCTATATCAGTGATTCTTTAGCTGTGGGTCCTGCATTGTAGGGGGTTGGACTGGATGCCTCTCGAAGTCTATGAATCAGAGTGGGAAGGGACCCCAAGGGTCATCGAGAGTCTAACCCTCTGCAATGCAGGAATCTTTTGGCCAACGTGGGGCTCAAACCCACGACCTGTTCTACGATTCTAAGTGGCATCTGGGTGCAGCCAGGAATTACTTTAGCGGGGGCAGGCTTTTGTTGCAGGGGCAGAACCAAGATATCTGCAATGAAATTGATCAGTTAGTTATTTCTATTTATTTACTTGATTGGGGGGTGCAGGCCCCCCACCCCCCTGGCTACACCCATGGGAGCAAATCCCCCAACACTTTAAAGAGAAAGGTTAATATGGTGCAGAGGACAGGACACTGGGTTTAAGTTGGGGAGGAATTCCAAGTCTCTGCTTAGCTTTAAGATTTCTGGTTTGCATTGACTAAGTCTCTGAGCCTCACCTACCCCCCCCCTCCCGGTTAGGGAAGATCCCTAGCTCAAAGGAGGAAAGCGCAGAAGCTCAGCAGAACAGCCCCTTCTTAGGAGGCAGATGGTTCCAAGTTCGATCCTTAGCAGGCCCAGGCAGAGCTGGGAAAACCTCCTGCGCAAATCCCTGGGGAGCCCTTGTAGCCAATACTGAAGCCAAGATGCTCCAATGGTCCCACTTGGCATCAGGCAAATTTCTGGGTAGGCTATGAGGCTGGCATGCCAATTTCTGCTGCTTACAAGGAAGTCCGGATAAACCGGAATCAAAGCGTGCACATTAATGCATGTCCTCCACAACCATGCTGTTTTGCATGGATTTTACTCCGTTTAAAAAAGTAAACACTTAGAACCCCCTCGCCGTGCCCAGAGCCCCGCCCTCTTCATCCCAGAGGTGTAAATGTGGGTTTTGCGCTGCCCCGAATTCAGATTTTCAGGGGCACGCGGTGCAGACTTGCCCCTTGCGCCACCCCGCGCAAAGCAATCCTAAACGGTAACTCATTTCCTCTCCGAGCCCCGAGCCCAAAGCGACTCCCGCAAGGCTCTCCTCGGCCTCGGTCGAAGCCGCGCCGCGCCAGGCTCCCCTTGCAACGGCCAGCGGGCTTCTTGCGGGGAACTTTCCAAAAGCGCCGCCTTTGTTCGCCGAGGCGAGGCCATCGCAGCATCCCCGGCAGCCCCCTTTGTCTCCCGAGGAAGCTTTGGGGAGGCGCGCCTTGCAAAGCGCGAAGGGGAACGGGCCGCCGAGGAGGGAGACGGGGCTCCCTCTTGTCTCCGGGATGGAAGGGCAACCGGGGAGCTGCCGACTCCAAGCGGGGCTCCCCAATTCCCTCCTTGCTAGAAATCCGAGGCGGGAGCTGGAAAGAGAAAAGACCCCCTTTTCGCGCTCCGCGTCCTCCCGGTTCCCAGGCGAGCTGGATCGGGGGCTCCCGAGGCGCAAAGGCGCAGGAAGGGCGGCCGCCGCCCTTGGGAATGCGGCGCCCGGCGCGATGCTCGGGGGATGGCCGCCGCCTACCTGTTCGCGCAGCGCCCGCTCCTCGTCGAGCTCCCGCTGGAGCCGGCCGGCCCTTTCCTCGGCGCCGTCCGCCTGCTCCTGCAGGCTGCGGATCTTGCGGCGCACGGCCTCCAGCGAGCTGAGCCCCGCCGCCATGGGCACCGCAGGAGAGAGCGAGGAGGCGAGGCTGCCAGAAGGGGAAGCGGGCCGCGGCCGACCGGCAAGCAGCGCGGCGCAAGGCCAGGAGGCAAGGCGGCGCCCACCGCCGGCTCCTCCCGCCTCGCCGCCTCCGGAAGTCCGCCTTCCCGGCCCCGCCAGCGCCCACCTGCGCCGCCAGGAGACGCCGCGTCTCGGCGCGGAGCCGCGCCCTGCCCTGCAGTGGGCTGCGCGGACACTTACTCGCGAGTAAGCCGCAGTCGTTTCAAGGCCTGAAGAACCGCTCAAGCCCAACGAGCAGCACCGAGATCTGCGGGACTTCCTGCGGATGAAATGCGCTGCGGATCGCGCTGCGTAATTCCTCGCCACCCCTTTTACACTGTTAGTTTGGAAGTAAACCTCTCCCCTTATTAATTTTTAAAAATCAATTATATATATATATATATATATATATATCCGGCTTGATTGTAACAAGTGGAATTGTAAAACCAGTGGAATTCATTTCCTAGAATTCCTCGGGAGTGAGTCCCGCTACAGATCAAAGCCGTGGGATCTGCTACTGAGTACGCCTGGTCCAAGGGGTCTCAAAGAGTCAGACACGACTAAACAACAACAACAACAAGCATGTCCATGATCAGTTTGCATGCAGACACAGTTCCTCACATACTTTTTTTGCAAGGCCCACAAAATCTTACAGCGGAGTAAACACTTCTGGGATCATGCTATGTGATCTGCTTTTGATTGCCTCTCTGCATTGGCAAAGGGATCCCTGACCATTAGGTCCAGTCGTGGCCAACTCTGGGGTTGCGGCGCTCATCTCACTTTATTGGCCAAGGGAGCCGGCGTACAGCTTCCAGGTCTTGTGGCCAGCATGACTAAGCCGCTTCTGGCGAACCAGAGCAGCACACGGAAACGCCGTTTACCTTCCCGCCAGAGCGGTACTTATTTATCTACTTGCACTTTGACGTGCTTTCGAACTGCTAGGTTGGCAGGAGCAGGGACCGAGCAACAGGAGTTCACCCTGTCGCGGGGATTCAAACCACCGACCTTTTGATCGGCAAGCCCTAGGCTCTGTGGTTTAACCCACAGCGCCACCTGCGTCCCTGCCTCTCTGCATAAGAGTACCCAAATATTTCCCCAGTGCCCTGAAGAGGCAGGCAACCTCTGGACTGTACAACAGGTCAAGCTTGCATGAGGGATGCTCTTTCAGACACACCTCAAATCCCTGCTTCAATAAATCTAGCATGTCAGGGTTATGCCTTAGCTTGTTTTCATGGGCGTACTAGCTATCTAGATGTTTTTGCATCAGTAGTGGAATGTATTAACCAAGTAAATATATTAACCATTTTTGCACATGGAGGAACAATCCTGTCCTGTGAGCCCTCTCTTGCTACCTGAAGTGGAATATCTCTGACACAAGATGAGAGAACTTGGTATTGAATGCAGCCGGATCTCACATTTCCCAAGATGCAGCCCCCTGACCCACATGACTCTTGCTTGGGTAGCAAGGAAGGGTCACCTGGCCCTGTTCCTGTGCTGTGGTGGACTAAGCGGCTTTGTCCCAGGCCTGTTCTCCTGGAACTGCCCCTGCCCCAGCCTCTCTCTCCTCTTTGTACTAAGACAAAATGCCCTGGGGCAGGAATGGGTGAGAGGTTTGGGGGTTTGCTGCAGCAGAAATGGAGGAGGGTGGAAGTGAATGGAGACTTTCCAGAAAAGATGCACAAGTGCCACCTGGTGGTCAAAGATTCACAGCACTTCCAAGGTGGGAGGTGTTGTGCTCCCAGGGACAGATGCTTTGGCTCCAAGTGATACTACAGCAACATTTCCTGGCTTTAAACCATCTAAAGAGTTGAGCCAGCTGTCACAATCGCACCATAGAAAGTAGTTACCAGGGACTGAGCCTGCTACAGATTCCCAGCATTGTTTAGCAGGCTACCTAGCAAGAGCCAGATATGCAAAAACAAGACAGACTCCCACCAACAGAGATTGCGAAAAGGCCACCATAACAAAGCAAATGAAATGGGAGGACATGAGAATGAAAGGTGCTTGTCTACGTTTCTGGAAACCATTATGGGAGATATGCAGTGCAATCTTACGCATGTCTATTCAGAAGCAAATCCGGTTGTGTCTGATGGATATTACTCCTCTGTCTGGAAGGGCTGAAGCTCAATGGCTTTGCATGCAGATGGCCCCAGTTTCAATCTCTGGCACCACCACGTATAGCTTTGGGATTTCTATTGTCTGAAACCCCACGAGAACTGTTGCCAGTTAGTCCATCTACCTCAGTATTGTCTCTACACTAAGGGTCTGGTTCAGTACAAAGCTGCTTAGGTTTTTAGGGTTGTGGCCTTAATGCCACTTAGCATTTGCTGGCATTCAAATCATTTCACATGCCTTATCTCAGCAGTCCTCACAAGAGTCCTGCAAGGTAGAGCAATATTATTACCATCTCTATATTGGTCTATGTTTGCAAGGAAGGCTTAGAGAACTTGCATGAATTCTGAAAAGTATGCTTGTTCAAGATATCAGCAAACAGAATTGTGGCCTCTGTGCAACTCTAGGTGTGTTCGGTGGGGGAAGGGGGCTTTACATCCTTCTATTTGGGAAAGAGCAAAGAGGTTTTAAATTGGCTCTGAACATGCTTGTGTTATAATGCAAATGGAATGGAAAAATTGTGCCCCGCCCCCTGAGAAAACAGGAAGGGGGAAGGAGCAGGACTTGCTGCACTAGAGAAAACTAGGAAGAATACTGGCTGAAACACAGGGAATGTCAAACCAAAGAATCACCTTGAGTTGAACACTCCGTATTCCAGAGTCATTCTAGGATGGGGGAGGGGGGGCTTAGTGACAGCAGGATGCTAAAGTGCTGTCCAAAATACTCCAGATATCTCCAAGGAGTTTCATAGCAACAAGGCACAGGGGGATTCTTGGCACCACCAGAAAAACCGGGGTGGAGGACAGGTGAAGGGCAGTAGAGGAGATGCCTTATGCCATCACCATTCCTTCTGATTGCAGAACCAAGTGGCGAATTCCAAAAGGATGCCTTTTGTAACTGACTCCAATTGGCTGGTCTTGGGGGTTTGGTAAAAAAACGAAAGTGGATCCTAAAGCCTGCCTACTCCTGATCTCGTCCAGTACTGCTGTCTTTGACTGGCAACAGCTTGTCAGGGTCTCAGGCAAGGATCCTTTAAAGCAGGCTTTGCCAGTCTGGTGCCCAGCTGGCTGGAGTTGATGGGAGTTTTAGTTCAAAACCCAGGGGGGGACGGGGACGACCAGATCACCAAACTTCTACATGCAAAAACCAGGAGTGTCTGCCATTGAGCTATGGGCTTCTCTTTTTCTGCTCCCCCACAGGGAGTGGTTTCTCACTCCTACCTTATCTACTGATATGAGCTATGACAAAGGCTAGCCAGGGTTTCCATTTGACTAGGATTTGCAACTTCAGTTAAACTTTGGCTTCAAATCTTGGTCAGATGAGTTGCCAAGTTGGGTGTGGTGGGTGTTGGCCTACGGCAGAATCAGCTCCTCCTCAGTCCTGGTTTAAGCATGACACCAGGTATATATATATATTTAAAACCCAGTAATTCGACAACCTACCCGGCTGGGACTGAGCACTTAGCATCTACAGAACCTTCTGCCAGGTTTTCAGCCCCAACCAGGTGCGTCGTCTCTGGTGACTGTGTGAGCAACAGGAGTACGCCAGGAATCCAGTCTGTGGCATGTGGCTCTGGCGCACTAGTTGTTTCTACATGTAGATGTTTCTGCTTTTAAATACAGCTTCATATTTAAACTGAGCTTCAATTGTTTGCTTTAAAAATGAATGGAGAAGTCTGCAAGGAGGGTATTTTTTTAAAGAGAGAAACTGCCTAGCCCTCTTCATTATAACAGTTTCCTTTCCACAAGACAGGATGTTCCACATGTTCAGAATTATATCCTACGGAGGTCGGCACATGGAAAATATTGTTCTGGTCATCCAAATTGATTTTTAGTTGAAAGCTGTGTTCAGAAGCCAGAAGGAACTTGGCCTGCTCACCCTCCTGGGAGGGAGGAAACCCCCCACGGATGGCCATTTTGGATTACCATAAACCTCCTGAGGAAGCCTTCAAAACACACAGGCACTCAAGGCAGAAGTGGAGGATGGAATAACAGGCAGATTTCAGCTGCCATTTCAAGCACCTGGGGAGTAAGCCCCGGATTACTCAGCTCACCTTACTTTTGAGTATAATAGTATAGGATTGGGCTGAAAGGCTGCAATCCCTAAACACTTACCAGCCAGCAAGCCCCACCCCACTCAATCTACTCAGTGGGACTCTGTCCTGAGTCAACATGCTGCACGAGTAGTACTGATCTCTCTCTCTCTTTCTCTCTCTCTCTCTCTCTCTCTGTGTGTGTGTGTTGTCTGTCTCTCTCTCCGGATAGCAAACATAGTTTTCAAAGCAGAGCAAGTTCAGATGGGGCTGCCTGTACTACAGCTTTCTGGCAGTGAAGGCTTCTGAAAGTAGGATCTGTGACAATTTAGAACAGTAGGGCACACCTTTACAGTAAAAGGGCACCTGCCAAGAATCTGCTGACTGGTGGAGGCCACGCAGGGAACAGGATAGCAACACCCTAAAGTTACTCATTAAGCCGTTCCCTCCCACTACAGGCAAACCAGTGTGTCTCAAAGGAAGTGATTTGGAGGCTGACTGCCGTCTGCTTTGCCCATGACTAATGTCCCCGCAGTTGCCCAATCCCAGCCGGTAAAGGTGATCTCACTCCAGGGAGCCCTTCCTCATGCACACTCATTTAACATCCGTCCTTCCCTAAGCATTTTTCTGAATCAGTCCAGGAAATTATTTCCTCTCTAGGCAAGTTGGCCTTCTAGATCAATCAGCACTGTATCTCCTTTTGCTGCTTTCTACGAAAAGAAACCCCACACCTAAAAGGTACAGGATGGGAAAAGATGGGGAAGGAGCTCTCACTTTCCTTCCAACATTTGCAAGCCAATGTGCCTGCTTTCTGAATTAAAGGGAAACGGCAAGAGTCTCCTTCTGAGAATCCAGTAGCATTTCTCAGCTCTCCCCAGCCTTCATCTGAGACAAGCCATTTCAAAATAGTCTGCATTCTTTTCCTTATAAGGAATATCTCCCCTGGATCTATATGCGGTTCCTTTGAACAAGTTAAATAAACCGGCTGGCTGGAATGCTGACTTCCATCTATAGAATGCCACATACGGGGGAAACACATCTGAAGCAGATTAGATGCAGCCTGTCTCTCAGACGAAGAGTCATTCTGTGGTTCTATGGCTGAAATTAAGTCAAACAGATTCCTGGGCACAAGACTTTCTTTTTTAATCCTACGCAATGGACTGAGCAGAAATAAGAAAGAAGTTTGTCTTCCAACTTGCACTGGATCGTCTTCATTTAACACCGCACTTTTGCCCATTCTTTCTAAAACCACTTATGTATATGGAAGTTATGCTACCATTTTTCAAATGAGTGAAATATAAGTGACATCATCTGCTTGGGATGTGCATCACCCGCTCTAAACTTGGGAGGACGTCTTTACTTGGAAAGAATTTCCCTTGCACCGTAATGAACGGGGAGCTACAAATGTCTGAGAGTTACATGCATGGGACTATTTAATACTCGTCAAGGGTTAGACAGGTGGGCGGAATGAGAGGCTGCAAAGGGTGCAGCTCTCACCCATACCATATAAAGTGCTGAGCTATATATAACCCCGATGCTTATTCTCTGGATCTATCTCCTGCAGACTGCAGACCCAGCAAGTATCACCTTCCGGGCTGAGTTCTCACAGCTGTAGTTTTCTTGACAAACCTTCTGACTTTCAAAACCAGAAGATGGCTTGGAAGCTAAGAACCATTGGTCTACCTCTACCCTTAAATCCTTAAGCCCAGACATCTTTTGGTAACCTACTGGGTATCCATTATATGCATTGGAGCCTCAACTCAACAACCCTAATTATTTACATCCCTTCTCTGTTTTCCCTTCATCCTCTGCCTGCATATTGACCCCCGAGAGACATCTTTCCCCTTTGGTTATGAAGCAGTAGCACTTCACACGCTTGGAGGTACCCAAAATGAACAATTGGTACCCATGCTCTTTGGTGATGGGGTGACTGTCATCATGCAAGGAAAATGGTCTGTTCCTGCCCATCCGCCCTTGTCAAGAGATGCCTGGCCCTGAAGATGGACTTGGGTGGCCTTAGAGATGGCATAGGCTGATGGCAGCCCAAATGTTAGTGGTGTGTGTGATGGTGGAAAGGGAAGGGTACTCACATCTGCAGCTTTTTTCTCTGCCACCTCCAACTTTTCCTGGGCATCTTTCAGGGACTCAGAATATTTGTCCAGTTCATCTTCAGTGCTCTTCAGCTTCTTTTGCAGAGACACCAGCTCATCCTCCAGCTGGTTGTGGCGTGGGGAAAGCAGGGAGGACGTGTGGGAGAAGGGGGTGCAGCAGGCAAGGTGATCGCGCACAGGAGAGGTGCAGGTGCAGAAGGACAGATGGACAGAGGAGGAGAGAAGGAGGAAAGAGGGAGAGAAGGAGAACCGTTAGCATCCTCTCAGCACGGTACCTTGGTGGCCTTCTCATCCGCAGCCAGCAGGCTCTCTTCCGCTTTGTGCTGCTCTTCCAGAACCCGGTCCCTCTCATCCTCAGAGACCCGCAGTTGCTTTTCCAACTGCAGAATGTCCTCCTCCAACTAGCCACGCATGTTAGAGGCAAAAGAGGAGGAGACAGACAACACACTCAGATGCATTTGTGTCCAGGGACATTGCCCTGCCTTCAGCCACCCTCTTGGATTCCTCCCACCCACCCTGGAATTAGTGGGCACAATATTTTTAAAGGTCTCCATCACATGGGCAGACAAGACCAGAAGCAGGAGAAAAGGCATTAACCAAGTGGCATGTGAGGCAGGATGCAACAGATCTGAGCCGTGGACTCAGTCCCATCCACAGGCCAGTCAACACCCTGTGCTTAGATATAGTTATTGACTTAGAGGGTTTGGTTGTTCTTTTCATTTTTTAACCCCACTCTGGAGATCACTTTAAAAAAAGGGGTGGGGGTGGGAGACAGTCCCTGATTTGAACTGGACCCCAATCCAGCTATACTTAGTCACTAGTAAATCTTGCTGAAACCAACAAAACAAGTTATTTGTGAGCAACTATTTTCAGTGGGGCTTAGTCATGACAAGCTTGAGCTGGCCTGGGCTGATTGATGGCAAGGACCCTCATGCCCACTTGGAAGTCAAGGAGAACGGGGAATGTTGGGGCTTCCTCCCACAGGGAGGCTGTGGGCTCAATCCTCTAGGCATGCCTCCTCAGGATCAGGGCCCTTGAGCCCAATGGGCAGCCTCACCGCCTGGCCTTCTGCATCTTTTCTCAGAAGTAAAATCCCATCCCCATGGGATTTTACTTCTGAGAAAAGAGGCTTCTGGTCCTGCTGTAGCGATTCTGCTCCTCTTATTGCAGTGAAACTAGTTTGACGCTCAGAAAGCTGGCAGGCCGGCCTGTGACTCCGTGTGTCAAAAAGTCCCACGGCACACCCTGCTTCTCTTCCTCCACGACCTGGGAGCCGCGGAGCGGGGCCTGCTACTGCCGAGCCACCGTCCAGAAGCGTTCCCCTTCAGCCAACTGCTTTTCTCAGGAGGAGGTGCACGCCCCTTCTCGCCCACGAGCCCAGCTTCTTCCAGGGGCAAAAAAGAAAGACACCCCCAACTTTAGGCAAATTTCCTCGACGGCCCACCGCGCGCCCTCTTTCTTACAAAGCACTCCAGAAACCCAACGCCGGGAAGGCAGCCCGTCGGTCTGGAACCTCCTGGAGATCCACGGACCTTACTCCCGAGGAAACACGTCGAGAATCGGGAGGGTCGTTTGCTGGCGCGCCCCCTCGCCTTCTCGGGGGGTGGTTCCCCACATTCCCCAGCCCCACTCCAAACTCCCTCCACTCCCCTGCGGGGCCCCGACGGGGCGTCCGCCCACCTGCTTGCTCCTGTCCTCGGCCGCCTTCTTGTCGGCTTCGGCTTGCTCGGCCCGGTCCAAGGCGTTCTCCTTGTCCAGTTTGAGCATCTGCATCTTCTTCTTGATGGCATCCATGGCGGCGGCGGCGGTGGTCGGGGGTCAGCGGCAAGAAGAAGAACGTCCCGGTTCGAAGGCGGCGGCGGCGGCGGACCTGTGCGTCTGGCTGCTGCGTCTGGAGCTGCCTTCCTGGAGGAGGCTGGGCTGCGCGGAGACGAAGGGCCGGGCTGAAGTGCGAGCGCCTCCCCAGTCGCGCCGGGCAGATAAGTACCGCCGTCCCCGGGGGCCGAGTGCATTCCTGGAGACATCCAATACTTTTTTGGGAAAGGGCTCGCGCCGCCCTTCCTCCGCCCGCCCGCCTCCCCAGCCCTCCTCCTCTCCTTCTCCGCATCTTTTTCTCTTCTCCCTGCCATTTGATCCCAGAGATGCCTATATAAGGGCAAAGAGGGACGGGGCGAGAAGGCAGGAGCCGCTGCCGCCGCTGCCGGGGAGCCTCCGTCCAACCTCGCGGCCCGACGGCGCTTCTGCTTCTTCCCCCAAGACGCGGCCCAGGATGGCCCTCAGCAGCCTGGACGGCTTTCCCAGGAGGCGGGTGAAGACCATGGACGGCCGCTGGGCTCTGCCTGGCCCCTTGCTGCCTTCCACCTCCGCCGTCGGAAGCGGGAGATTCCTCCAGAGCGCAAGTGGCCAGTGCGCCTTCCCGTCCTTTGGGGCATCTTGTGAGAAGAGGGTGATGGACCCGATGGACGCCCCCCTCCCGGGCTCTTTTTACCTTTATACAGTCCAGGGGGAAGCGGGTTCAAAGGCAGATTCAAGCCATTAAGCTCTCCAACTTCCTTGGATTAATTGATTGTATTTCCTAGATGCTTTTCATTCAAATGAATCCCAAAGTGGTTTGCAAACAATAAAGAATATCGTAATACAGCATAACAGAACCTCTCAAGTACAGCATAAACCATATAAAATAATTAACAAATCATCAGTGAAACAATTACAATCGCTTTATAAAATACTTTACTGATAACCCTGAAGAACGGCAGCCACTGAAATCAACCCTTGAAGTTTGGCAAACTCAAATAGACTGATTGGTCCTGGAGTGGGGAGGGAGGCAAGCTGGGATTTTGCCTTCCCCACCCTTTTGTAATTGTTATGTACTGGAAATCAATAAAATTATACTTATAATAAAATTTTGAAAAACCAGTTAATAGCTATGGAACACTATTAACAAAGCAGCAATGAAAAACAAGCTAAGCATCACAATTACAACAAAAGTCATTATATATGGCATTTATAACCTATAAAACATGAATCTTTGGGCCACTCCTCCCTCAGCCTGATCTACCTCACCTTGGGAGGGTGGCACTGAAGGAAAGAGAGCCGGGCTCTATAGAGGAAGGGTAGGCAATTTCTTTTGTTGAGGGTTGCACTCCCTTGGGCATAACCTTCCACAGCCTGCATGCCTATGGTGGGCAGAGCCAGAGACAAAAATGTTCTGGATTAACTGATCTGGAATCAGGACAACCTGGCTTTGATGTCCACCATGGCTACTACCTCCGGTAAGAATGCCTAGGCTTGACCCGGCTATAGAGTTCTGCAGCTGGACGCCTCACATGCCGCAGCCTCTCTCTGCCCCTGGGTCACTCAAGCCTCACCTGGGGATGGAGCTGCAGCTGGGCGGGCACATGCTGCAGCCCAGGCAAGTGGGCAGCAGCGTTGCTGCCTTCTCTCCTCTGCACCCCCGGGTCAGGCTTGACCCAGCAATGGAGTTGCGGCTGGTGGCGTTTGGCGCAAGGAAGCTGCCTGTCTCTGCAGCTCCCTCACACTCCAGATCCAGGCTCTGATGAGGGAGCCTGTTGTGGTGGCCCCTGGACCATGGCCTCCCCAGCCCTCCCCCCACGCTACACCACTGGGCCAACCAGATGCAAGCAGAACCTGAGCACAAGAGGCCTCTCCCCCTTCTGCAGTTTCCAGCAACTAGTGTGCAGAAGCACAGAAAGTGCGTGGGTGATGAGATGTACATAAAAAATCCAGGCAAAATGAGGAAGCATAAAAAAGGAGCCCTGATGGGATGGAAGAGTGGGCAACTTCAGAAGGCATTTGAGGACCACATCAGGTGCGACCCTGGGTCTCAGGTTTTCCCTCTTGTGCTGTAAGAGAAATGCAAGATCTAATTGTACTAAAAGAAACACAATAAAATCAAGCAATAACATGTTTTAAAACTTAGATGGACAACCAGTTTAAAACCCATCCATTGCTTGAATTGAAACAAATGTACCGTACACACAACTCAAATGCTACTTACAATTTTTTTTCAGACAATGCTATAGTGGAAAGGCCATGTTACAAATTTCTGTTTTCCCCTCCCCGCATTTCCTTGTTGCAATAACATGCCAGAGACAAAACAGTCAAAGAAAGAAAGAGACCAAGTGTGCTCTCTTAACTTGCTGCCTTGCTGATTAATCAACCCCAGAATTCATTGGTTAACCTCCAGAGTAAAGTTTATTGCCCTGTTTTAAGATATGGGAGAGGATTTGAATTAGTCAGTCTTCCTTTGCTGCAGGAAACTGAGGTCCCAACCCCACAATCTTTCTCTCTCCCCCACCCCAGTGACAGTTCTCAGTCTTCGAACATAGAACTACATGACAGACCTTTCTGTAGAAGTAGAGCATTTGCTCTGCGTGCAGAAGGTTCAGTCCTGCCATCTCCATGTTGACTCGTGAAAACCTCCTGTCTGAGCCAGTGCAGAATCTATACTAGGCCATATGGATTCATGGTCTAACTCTGTATAGAGGAGAATGTTTCTAAGCATGCACAGATGTTTCCCCAAACATATTCAGATGGGGAAGGCTTCTGAGGCCTTTCTGCCGGCTTTGTTTATGAGTTATTTAAATGGTCTTATTGATATACTGTACACTGTTTTATGTGTTTTGCCTTTTACACCTTTAGCCTTTTTGAAGTAAGCAAATTAATGCTATTATTATGTCTGATCTGATTGCTTCTTATAAGTCCTGTGGGCAGGGCAGGGGCTATACTATGATCCATCACACTCTTTGTTCCAGATAAATACAAAAATGCTAGCAGTAAGATGAACTTCACATTAATCAAGAAGAGAATATCCCTGAGCATGCGTAAAAAAATAATTCCCCTTGCACTGCAGTAAGACAGGAGGAAGAGAGTTCAGAACAAAGGGGATGACTTCTGAGTCAAAGCAGCTTCATGCCAGCAACTAAACACCCTGTGGGGATATTCTAACCTGCACTATCAACTGTCCATGCAAAACAAGCTGCTGATCACTATTCCAAATTAATAATGTTTGCAGAGTGTTGCCAGTGCCCTAAAGGCAGCCTTGCATGTCGCAGCCAAGTTTGCCCTTATCATAGAACTGTATCCAGTCCCAGGGTCCTCAGAGACTGTGCCTGGACTATGTAGTTCAAAGTTTGCAAACACTCTGCTGTGTTCACACCAGAGTTCACACAACCTTTTTAGGGGGAGCTGAAATCCTTGAGGACATTAAAAGTCCATTTGTTTATTTAAGTGTTTTTAGGTCTCTCAAGGTAAATACCCCACAAAGCAACTGACAATTACTTAAAATACAAAACTACAAAAACAGATGCTTATAAAAACAAAACAATAAAACACCACAAATGAACAGAAGATAAACCTTTTCATAAAGTCTGGCTAAAAGATGAAAACTAGCTTCAAGGGTAGCATCACAACTGAGGGTCTGATTGGCTCATGAAACCCCTTTTCTGCTTTTCACTCACAGGCCAGGCAGGGGAAGAATATTTTCGTAACTGCAGCAGCCCTGGTAGATCAGATTTTGGCATGTCATTACATTTCTAATGGGAACAACACATGTGGGAACTGAATGAGGAATGACGTCGGCAGAGGTTAGGTTCGGGGAGGTATAAAAATATTTAGCTTTGAGCTACATAAGCCTGCACTTTCCCCTTTCCCACTGCCCCAATTGCTGACAATTCGCTTAAAATGACATTAATATAAACCCACATTCATTTGTGTCGTCTGTGAGGCAGAGCACCCCACACATTGGAAGCCGAGGGAGTGCTCCATTTTTCAGAGTTAAAATGGGATCTTTTTGCAATCGTGCTCACCCCTGAAAATGTTTATTCTAAGAGAAAGTGTGATGCCTCTTGAAAGGAACTTGATGCCCTCTTATACTCCACAAGTCACTGACCTGATCAGAAGGACATGGGGCCCAGATCATTGACTCACACAGGGATACAATGGGCAAACTCTTCTGAGAACAGATAATCTGGCTGCATGTCTACACAATCCTGATGGAGCAGGATAACTGGATGCAAGCACAGCCTGGCTGGAATAACAGAATCATAAACGCATAGAATTGTAGAGTTGGAAGGGAACCCAAGGATTGCCTAGTTCAACCCCCTGCAATGCAGGAATAATACTCTCAATGCATAAGAGTACCCAAATATTTCCCCAGTGCATGGCCCTGAAGAGGCAGGCAACCTCTTCCACAAACACCTCAAATCCCTGCAGCAATAAATCTAGCATGTCAGGGTTATTGTCTAGCCCTTTTTTCATGGGTGTACTAGCTATCTAGATGCAGGGATTTAGTTGTTTTTGTATCAGTAGTGGAATGTATTAAGCAAGTAAATATATTAACCATTTTTGCACATGGAGAAACAATCCTGTCCCGTGAGCCCTCCCTTGCTACCTGAAGTGATTCCACAAGATTCCACAAGATTCCACAAGCTCTGACACAAGATGAGAGAACTTGGTATTGAATACAGCTGGATCTTGCATTTCCCAAGATACAGCCTGCTGACCCACAAGACTCTTGCTTGGGGAGATGGAGGTGCCCAGCAAGGAAGAGTCACCTGGCCTTGTTGTTCCTGTGCTGTGGTGGACCACAGGAAGCGGCTTGGTCCCAGGACTCTTCTCCTAGAACTTCGGCCTGGGAATCCCTGAGCGCCTCAGAGGAACGTGCCTTGCCCCGTACCAGATGCTTTGTCCATCTAGCTGGGTATTGCCTCCTTTGACTGGCAGTGGCTCTTCAGGGTGATCGTGGGCACAGATCCATCACTTCCATCACTCACTGCTACCAGATCTTTCCTTCTTTTTCAAACTGTAGGCACATCACACAGAGCTGCAGTGAGCAGCCTTCTCTGAGGGTGGGCAGCTTGGAGTCGCAAAATATTTCAGGCCCCCCAATTTTCAACCCAAGCAATGGAGCGTCTTGCTCAACTGCAGGCCTGAAGCATGTTAGGGGCCAGCAGTTAGAGTGACTGAGTGTATAATTTAGAGACATTCCCTTAAATGGGATGGGAATCAGGAATATGTAATTTGTGGACATGGCCTAAAGGCATGTAGGCCTGTCAGAGCACAGCAAGGCATAAAAGACGGTGGCATAAATTGGAGGGAAGTATGCAGGCTGAAATCGTTTCTCTGCTCCCCCCACTTCCTGCTGCCTACATTCTTGGATGTACATCATACAACATGATGTCCAATGGAGAATAAATACAGTATCGATGGCAGCACTGGGGGGTCCTCCAGAGGTGCTGAAGCCAAGCAGCTGCCCAGCAGTACCATCCCCAGGTGCCCGTTTGGAACACCTGCCTCTGGCATTTGATCTCTGGGTCTCACTTGGTTGAAAAAGCTACAACAATTTCTCCTCTTCTCCCTGTACTTTGCCTATGGACATACCTTCCAGAAGTCCACCATTTATTTGCTAGTCCTTAAGGTAGCACTAGACTTTTTAAGGGCTGCTCCACATGCCCTGTTTATTGTTCATGATGCCGGTGGCGTTGTGGTGTAAACCACAGAGCCTTGGGCTTGCCGATCAGAAGGTCGGTGGTTCGAATCGGTCCCAGCTCCTGCCAACCTAGCAGTTCAAAAGCATGTCAAAGTGCAAATAGATAAAAAGGTACCGCTTCGGCGGGAAGGTAAATGGCGTTTCTGTGCGCTGCTCTGGTTCACCAGAAGCATCTTAGTCATGCTGGCCACATGACCTGGAAAAACTGTCTGCGGACAAACGTTGGCTCCTTCGGCCTGTAAAGCGAGATGAGCGCCGCAACCCCAGAGTCGTTCGTGACTGGACTTAACTGTCAGGGGTCCTTTACCTTTACTTTTATGATGATTTGTGCTCATGATGTTATCTGGACAGTCATACATGATCTCACTTTCCTCACTATTTGTGCATCCCAAAGCTTTGGGGTATTCATACTGCTTCATTTCCGACCATTGCCTGCCTTGTAATTTCTTGATGAAGCCCAGTGACTTTTAATGCCCAAATGTTCCAGGTTTGTTTTCGCTGTGCTGGAGCCCCTGCAGACAGTGTGGTGGTGTTGGGGAAGCATCACAGAACCATTAAAAAAGCAGAATAAACCCACTATTAATGCACCATTGTTTTTTCAAGAGCATGTGGACTGGGACTGATGACAGTTGTATTCCTGTCAGTCAATCTCACAGTTCAAAGCTGGAGCTAGCTCACTCAGGTCTTACTGCATGAAACCAGTTGCTGTGACTAAAAGTCCTGGCCTCCCCACAGCCGTGTTTGTTTCCTCTTCTCCAGGGCTTCTTCCAAGCAATTGGAGACTGTGCCTGCGTGAAGATTGTCTTTGCTGCTCCTGTTTCATACAGCTCCTGGTTCTAGGAGTCAGAGGGGCTGTCGCAGCAGCGGGGTGGGGTGGGGGACAACAACACCTGTGACTCTTCACCCGCCTGACTCATCTCAGCCTCTTGACCTCCCTCCTCCCACTTGCCTGCTTCAGCTTCTGCCTCTGTTCCTTGACTGCTCTCCATCACAGACCCTCTCTGCTCACTAAGCCCTGTTTATCCCTTCAGCTTCCGACACCTCCTCTCCCCAGTCTTTTCCCTCTTCTCCCTGCAGCCATTCATTGTTGTCCCACCACCACTCCTCTGAGTCTTCTTCTCTTGGTGGTTCCCCAGTAGGCACATCCCACCATTCCTCCGCATCCAACCAGTCCATACCATAGTCCAATAACATCTGGAAGTCACCTCATTGATGCAGAAAGCTGGCCTAGGTTATCAGCAATGGCAACAACATTCATTTCATTTTGAAATGTAGAGGTGGCTCCTTTGTTCAGCTGTTGGCTGACACAAAAAGCTCCATGTAACATCCAGGTTAGATTACTGCAGTGAACTCTTATGTGGGGCTGCCCTTGAGGTTGGTCTGGAAGTTGCAGCTAGTGCAAAATGGGTCAGCCTGACTGATCACTGGGGCAGGATAATCACCACCATGTTACACTGCTGTTGAAAGAATTACCAATTAGCTACTGAGCTAAGTTCAAAGTTCTGGTTCTGGTATACAAAACCCAATGCAGCTTGAGATGATACCAAAAAATACTGCATACCCGCTAACGTTTTTCCAATCGGAATAGGAATGTCCTATTCCATCACCATCATTTTATTATTTATACCCTGCCCATCTCACTGGATTGCCCCAGTCACTCCGGGCGGCTTCCAACATATATAAAAACATAATAAAACATCACACATTAAATTACTTCCCCTATACAGGTGTCCTCTAAAGGTTGTATAGTTACTTATCTCCTTGGTTCATGGGGTCACATAACTCCATACCTAGGGTTGCCATACGTCTGGAATTTCCCAGACATCAGCCATGGTAAACAGCGTCCAGATGAAAATCACTGAAATGTCCGGGAAAATCCAGAAAGCCCATGTCGGAAGTGTAGCTTTTAGCGAATTTAATTAAAAATAGCTCAAAATCTCTCTCTTTTAAAAAAAAATATTTTGCAAGAAAAGCTCAACAACTTTGGGCAAAATTTTAAAAAGCTCAACAATGTCTGCATCTGGATTTTTCACTACCACACCCTCCAACATTTCTCTGATGAAAATAGAGACATTTGAAGGAAAAGCAGGACATTCTGGGATCAAATCAGAAACCAGGATGGCTTCTAAAAATCTGGGACTGTCCCTGGAAAATAGTGACACTTGAGGTTCTGATATCGTCTCAGCTCTCATACACCCAGTTGATCAAATATCATCTGTTTGTCACAGCAGTCAGGCCTTTAGTGTTGTGGCAGCTGTCCTCTGGAATCCCTTCCCCTTGGATATTAGACAGGCGCCATTTCTGCTGTCTTTTCAGTGCCTGCTGAAGGTCTTCTTCTTCCAACAAGCCTTTTAAGTCGAGATATATTTCCAGTCTGCAGCTACACTGGAACTGTTTTAAAGATGCTTTTAGAACTTTTAAATTGTTTTTATCGCTTTGGGAGGAAGGGTGGGATATAAAATTTTAAAAAAGGAAAGGTTGCATATTACATCCTGCCTGAGCCCGGATGACTAAAACAGAGGAAGGCTCTTCTCTTGCCTCTGGGCAAAAGGGAACATCTTTCAGGAAGCATCCTGTTTGACTACTTACAAGGAGGGACTGACAAACCTCTCATTCAGTTCCTCTTTGGAGAGAGGATATTGAATGTGGTTTGGGAGCCCCAGGCATGGGGGGAAGTCTGGAGAACCAGTCTGGGTACAGAAATCTTTCTTTCCCTGTAGGAAGATAGAACGTTGCCAACCCTAAATGCTTTAGCAAGCATTGAAATCTGTGAATGAGGATTTTCTTGTTTACAGTGAGAGTTTGCTTCTCCCAGGGAGCTGAATATCTGGCAATTTAACTTGTTCCTCTAGTTATGTGTACAGGAACGTAAAACAAAAACACAACATGCTTGCACAGATTCTTCAAAAGACCCAGCAGGGAAATTTCATCAGGTTTGCAGAGTATAAGGACCGTATGGGACAATTGCAGCCCCCACCAATTATTTGTGATTCCACCCTGGGAAATTCCAAACACCCACCGCTTGGGGCCTCTTTCCCCACCTCATCTGTGGCCTGCACAGACCTGTCAATTAAGGGGGTGGGGAAAGGAGGGTGCCTTGCACTGGGCTTGGAATGGCTCCTACTCTCCTTGTGCACCTCACAGTTGTGCAAGGAAGTCACTTTGTCCAGCCACTTGTGGCCAAGTACCCCACTGCCCACACAGCAGCCTCAGAGGATAGTTGCCAGGAGGGTGAAAGCCTTGGGAGGTAAGAAAGGGGAGGGGAGGGGAGGGGAGAGAGATTCAGACCAATGCCAGTCCCCAGACAAAAAGTCCCTCAAAAGCAAGGCCTGTCTGATTTTGCTACCTTGGGACTGTCAGGGCAGGACTTTAGGGAAGAGGTTCAGGACGCCACTCAGGAAGATGAGCAGGAAGGGTCACCAAACACAGCAAGATTGACTCACAACATTTCGAAAGTAGGCAAAATCATATATACAGTCAAAAGAGGCTGAAGGCCCCTATCCACGTAAGGCTGTGAAGTCCAGAGTAAAATGACATGGCTGCATCCCTGATTGGGGAAGACTTCCCCTCCCTTCAGAAGCAATTTGCACACATTGTATCAATGTGTTTGTATGCGCAAAGGTATGTGCAGGTTGTTCACACCTTATGCTCAGGTACTGGGGGATGCAATGTTGGGGGCAGGGTTAGTCTACGAAGGGGAGGGGACCACATTGCTCTCCAGGGTCGAAGCTTTTAGCAACCAGTCCAGTTGTCTAAAGTCAAAGCTGCCGGCTTGTGCCGCCTGGAAGAATGAGGGACACGCTAGTTGCATCACTGCATTTAACACGCAGGGCACTGCTGATTGCCTCACAGGCTTCTGGAAAAGAGCAGTCTTTCTGAGCAACCTCGAGGCAATTGTTCTGCCTGCCTAGGAAATGCTGACTGGAAGAAGGGTGAAATGACCCAGAGAAACATTTGTATGTTATGTAGGTGGAAAGGAACTCCTGCGTGGTTGTGCAACAGAAGAAAAAGGAGTTGGTGGAAAGGAAATATATTGCAATCCCTCCCCCCATTTTGTTTTTCAGTTAAAAACACACACCAAACCCCAGGTCCCAACAGGGTTAGAGAGCAATGGGATAGGTGCAGGGTAGCTGTGTGTCCTGTAATGAGCACTGTGAGGGTTTGTAGGAGCCGGGCCCTGGCCGGGCGGATCTTATGTGAATCAGGTGCAAGCCCAGCCAGGTGATGAGATGTGCTGCAGCTGGAGGCAAGTGCAAGAGGACAATATAAGTCCTGCATCTTAGCCTGGGTCTTTGCCACAGCAATGTAGTCTCCTGCCAACTGGCATCATCATCATCATCTTATTATTATTATTATTATTATTATTATTATGCAAAATTCACACACACTTTTTACAAACCAATTTGCCCTAATATAAAGCATTTTATATGTTAGATTTACAAATATAGATGAATTTTTACGCACCCTTTCTTTCACTATATGCATTTTCCCACATAAATAACTGCATTGCAAAATTCAGAGGTATGAATTCTGATTATTCACATTTTGTTTTGTAACGTGTGAATTGGGTTAGATTCATCTTTCAGTTCAAACCAAAACAAATTTCTCCCCAATTCCTCGTGCCTCCTAAAGACCTTCCTTTTTGAATAAGTATTTTAAGTAGAGATATTTATCTCCATCTGCATCTGTAGAGAAACTATTTTAAATGTTTTTATATATGAAATTATTTTTACGATTTCTTAATTGTTTTTATACATGGAACTGTTTTTAATTCTTTTTATGGTGAAGGGCATATAATAAATTGTAATTAATAATAATAATAATAATAATAATAATAATAATAATAATACCAGAAGACAGGAGAGCAGGAGTGGCCTTGAAGTCACCCCCTGGTCAGCAGACTGAGCAAGCACACAGGTTGTCGTGACACAATCTCCTCCAGGATAGCAATATGCCTCCTATTTCATTTTCTGTTTAATGGTTATAGGAATTGTTCCTCAGTTCTCACCATTACACATAAATTAGCACCTGCAAATTTTGTGCAAGTTAGTGTCCGCCCTTGCTGGGCCTGGGAGGAGTGAGAAGGACATGCAGGCAGGCTGACCCATGTCGGGAACAAGCCACAGGGAAGTTCTTCTGCAGAATCCTCATGGAAATGATTAGGATAGGGAGGCTCTGCAAGTCCAATGGACTGGATCCCATGTATGTGAACCACTGCTTATGAAAGTTAATGTTTGGATAGCCTGGCTAAGGCACCAAAATGTTCTGAGCTGACCCTCAGGAAAAGAATACGACTGAGCTGCTTTCTAAGGAGAAAGTCATGGTCCGTTTCACTGGATTGTGAGCATTTTGTCTACAGAAACCCAGGAAGAGCCTGGCTGCTGGTTCAGACCTGAGGCCCACCTGGCCCAACATCCCGAGGCCTAAGGGAACCACACAAGCAGTACTTGCCCTACTTGTGACTCCCAGGCAAGCAACCGAGGTTCCTGTAGGACTCGCAATACACTTAGTGAGTGAAGCAGCAGTTTCTCCCATGCAAGGCTGTCCTCACCCTCCTCCTCCTCCTCTGTTAAATGGAGTCATCCTGTTGACTGCATCTGTAGGACTGGTTTCACCAGTTCTGGGGTAAACTGTTTTTCAACTGAGTAAGCATTTATGTAGGCTAGTTAAAGGGAGTTTATGTGTGAGGGACTATTATTTTCCAATGCAATGTCTGATTGCAGTCCTTTGCTGCAAAGTACATGGCACTTAAAAGTCAATACTGGTTTGTTTTGGGGCATAGAAAGAAATATGTAGCTTAAATAAAGTGGATATGCAAAATCCATCCCATGAGTCTTGGAATCGGGGGAACAACCTCTCTCTTATTCTTTTGCCTTATGGAACTAGGATTTACTTTTCTGGGTCAGTGCCACTCAGGCCTACAATGGAGTTCTGAGGGTCCAATATCAAATCTTGTCACAGCCCCCCTGGCTGTACAGATATAAAATTCCTAATGTGTCAACGGCTCACACCCTCCCTCATCCCTGTATTGCCTTCTGTCTCGCTTTAGATTCCCTCATCATCATCTCTCTTCCCTTTCTGGAGCCAAGAGGCCTTGCCCACTTTCCTCTTCTTCATCCACTCTTTTAACCATTATTATTATTATTATTATTATTATTATTATTATTATTACAATTAATTTATCAACTGCCTTCTAAACCACCATCTCAAGGAGATTTGCACATAAGATGATTAAAAACATTTCAAAAACACAAAAACAAATAAAAACCTAAGAAGCTGGCACTCGTGGCGAAAGACCCATTCGTCCAGCTTGGAAGGTCTGTTGGAGTAAAAATGTCTCCAACTGTTTCTGGAAAGTTCAGAGAGTGGGTGCCTGTCAACAGGGATGCTATTCCGCAGAACAGGAGCAGCCACGCTAAAGCCTTGCTCTGAATTATTGCAAAAAGGTCTTTTGAGGTCTTTGGGACTTGCAGGAGAAACTCTACTGCAGACAGCAGCAGTCTGTTGGGCTCACAGCTCCCTTGACCAAGCACATTCTTTCTGCGGCACCCCTGTGGGGCTCAGGAGCCCAGTTATGTCACCCCTTGCCTGCCAAGCTGGCAGCCTCTCAGCCTCTTTTTTGAACCCCCTCTCTTGTGGAGTGTTCCCTCAGCCTCCTCTCCTTGAGAGTACTCTGGGCAGCTGCTGAACTCTCCTCCCCCCGCTGCCCGAAGAGAGGTGCCTCCTCACAATCCCCCACAAGGGCCTGGGAAGAGGAGGCTCCCATCCTTAGTGGCCCGACAGACACTGGCCCAAGGTGAATGTGAAGCCAACACTGTGGAGGTAATGCTCCGCTTTGCGAAGGCAAACCTCACACCAGACGTGCAACAGTATGTCAAAGAGCATTGCGCCTGCTTTTCCTGACCTTTTGCCTTCTTGGCTAGAAAACAGGGTTTTCCCCCTGACCTTTTGTCCTCTCACAATTTGTTTGTTAGACATATCGCTTGGCTGGAGCATGATGGGGGACGCAGACGTAATCAAGTATCGGGGAAAATATTTGAGGGAAATACCTGCTGACACGTGTATTTGCTAATGCTGGAAATTAGCTTAGACGGAAATACGTTAAGTTCAGGGTCGTTTCACTACTGTTTCCAATTGTTGACTTCTGCTAATAAAAGGAGCCTCAGCAGAGCTAGCCGGCAGCTTGCTTGGAGCATGCTTGCCAGCGTGCTTCTGCGCAGCTCACTTGCATCCAACCTCCTGTCGTCTTCGTTATTCCTACGCAGCACCTTACCTTGGGGGGGCAGCAGCAAGTGCTCTGATTTCTTTTATGCACAAAAGTAGGATATCAATATTGAACTAAGCACTATCATCCCCAGGCCCCCTCCCTTCTCCCCTCCCCCACCCCCTTCAAACAGAATCAGCCCCTGATCTCAACAAGCAACAACAAGGCAAAGAGAAGGCGTGTGGCTGGCTCTCCAGGGACCTGCGTCTCAGGAGCATCTGGCTGCCTGCCTTTAGAAACAGAACACTGGGCTAGATGTACATTTGGTCTGATCCAGCAAAGGCTGTTCTTGTGTTCTATATGTGGCAGAACTTGAAACTGATCCCAGGGGCCCTGATGCCTTGTTCCCGGCTCGTGCCTCCAAAGCAGCCTTCTGAATCACTGAGGAATGTTGCAGCTGCACACTTTAAGAGGTCTCTGTGTCACTGTCATAAGCAACTCCGACTGCTTGTTTTAAGGATTACTAAGAAGAGTGTGGCTCTGAAAAACAAAGAATGGAATGGGCAAATGTGTCCGACCGACCCAGCCTTGTCGTTTCGGACCAATGTGGCTTTGCGTCTGGCTGGCCCTGTTAGCCAAGGAGGCCTTGTTCCCATCAAACTGTCATTCAAGAAGGCATCTCCTTGCTTGCCTGCTGAGTCCCTTAAGGGCGAGAGTATTTATAGTGCACCCTGCTGCACCTGCCTGGGTCTGTAACTCAAGAGACTGAGCTCAGATACCAAGGCAAATGCTGGGAGCGAGACATTGTGAGCTAATGCCTTGAAATATCGTGCAGGAGGAAGGCTTTTCTTCATCTTTCATTCTAAGGAGGGACCAAACCAGGCCTTTTACTCACTAGGTAATACTATGGACTTTCCCTTCAACAGGCTCTTTACCATGAGGCTGAAGTTGTTTACTACTTCCGTGTGTGTGTGTGTGTGTGTGCGTGCGCGCCATGTTTGACAGTTTCTGGCTCCCAAGGAAAGCCTAGCATCAGATGCAATTCTGTGCCATCTTATAGACAACATTCTCCTGTAGTTTCTGTGGGTGTCTCATAACCACCACCTCTAATAGAACACATGTCTACAAGACTGAGGGCAGAAATACAGGGTGTGAAATGACTGAAATGGCCTCCAACAGCTAGTATTCAGCAGCATAAGTGCCTCTGTTCCTGGAGGTGGAGCACAGCCACCGTGATAGCCTTATCCTCTGTTAATTTATCTAATCCTCTTTTAAAGCCATCGAAGTTGGTGGCCATGATTGGAAGTGAGTTCCATTGTTTAACTATGGGCTGTGTGAAGAAGTACTTTTTAAAAAATCTGTCCTGAATCTTCCAACAGGGAGGGAGAAAAGCTTCTCTCCCTCATCATTGTCACCACACTAATGGTGTCGTAGTAAAACTGGAAGCGTAGGAGCTCATCATGGCAGGCCCCATTGCCATGCCCTCAGGGAGAGGCCAAATGCAAGCATCTCTGTTGATCCTTTAGTGCACAACAATTCTCCCTAAGAGCAGCACTGCATAGCATAACACCCAGTTTATTAGGAACCAGTAGGACTGTGATCGTATGCATCTCTTCCTGGAAGTAAGCATTATTGAACACATTGATGCTTAGTTCTGACTGCAAAGGTTCAGCTTGAAAAACACACTGAGCCTTAACAAAAGACCTTCGGATAGCTAAAATGCAAACGTTAGCCTTGGATTTGAAATGGAAAACATCTTGTAATGAAGCATGACTACTTACACTGCTCAGCTGAAACAGGAATTCCATCAAAGAAAAGGAAGTATGTATCCAGCCCCTACTTAATCTCTGAATTTGTCTGCAAACACACCATACATTCAAAGTACATTTTCCCCAAGAATCCTAGGAAATGTAATTTGCTCCTCACACAGCAACAATTACCAGCATCCTTGACAAACTATAGTTCTCAGGATGCATTTCATTCACTTCAAAGATAATTGATTTTCAGGATTTTGTCTGGGCAGTTGTGGCATTGGTTGGTCAAGTAGCAGTCACTTAGTATTCCTTCTTACAGAGCGTACATCAGACCCAATAATAATGATGATGTATTTTGCATACTATGCCTACAGTGTACTTATTTTAAGTGGAAAGAATGGCTTCCAGATTAGTGTTTCTGAGTAATGGAGTATCTGTCTTTTTCTTTTCTTTTTTCTTTTTACATTCTGCTGTCTCCTCAGTAATGTTCTAACAATGGCTATCAAAATAGCAGCTAGCAGCATCCCAGGGAGTGGGGATGCAGTTCACAAGCTCGGTCTTCATGTGTCAAAATGTTTACCTGCCCCCCAGCCCTCTAGGGAACTGCGGGAATCACTAATCAAGTAGAATTGAAAGTTGGCCCAGAGAGGGCAGAGCTCCAGAATAGCTGGATAACAGGACAACGGCCAGAGAGGAGCTCCTGTTTCATCACCATCTATTTTGGCACTTGCTAGACAATTGACAGAGCAGACAATGGGCTTTATTGCATGCTAGACATTAGTCAGAGTTATTCTGAGGACCGGTTCAAACAGCCGTATTGTTTTCTTAGCCCATGAATGGAACCCACCTGAGTTGACTTTCTGCCAGTGTTGGGCTGTGCAGTGTTGGCTCATCTAGATCAGTAGTTTCAACACTGACTGGCAGTAGCTCTCCAGGGCTTCAGACAGGAGTTTGTTCCAGAGCCAGGGTATTGAACCTGAGACCTTTTGCATGCAAATCATGAGCTCTGCCCACAGACCTACAGCCCCTGGTAGGTAACTGACTAGGCAGGATAAGAATCAGAGTTTGGCAGAATGTTAAGACTCTCAGCTTATCCACACCTCTGTTTGTCTTGCTGGGGAAGCCTGATTTCAGCTGAATCTGAGCAAACAGCAATCAGGTTGATGGCTGTTTGTTCTGATTTACTGCCAAAGAGTGGGTTTTCTGGGGGAAAGCAGTAGGGCAGAGGTCCCCAAACTAAGGCCCGCTGGCCAGATAAGGCCTGAGGGACTTGTTTATCTGGCCCGCAGCGACCCCCACTGCCCGCTGCCGCCGCCTGCTATTACTGGCGCTGCGCTGCGCAGCTGTCCACTTCCGAGTCGGAGGAGCACCAGAAATAGCTTGTGTGCATGCGCAAGCATTATTTCTGGTGCACACCTGGGTCGGAGGAGGCCCGTGCACATGCGCACAAGCTATTTCCGGTGCTCCTTCTACCCGGAAGTGTGCTGGAAATAGCATGTACGCATGCGTATGGGCACGTGCTCCCCCGCCCTCCAGCCCACCACGCGATCGGCACTGGAGACACCGGCCCGAGGCACAGTAAGTTTGTTGACCCCTACAGTAGTGCAATGGCAAAACTGCTCAGACCCATGCCCAGGAAGCACAGGACAAGCAGAAGTGTGGACAAGCCCTCTGTCACCTGACAGGAAAGCAGGACCCAGTCAAGGAATCTAAGGGGACCCACAGCCAAGTCCTTGAGCCTGCTGCAAGCTGTGGCCCTGTGGGCAGCCTGAGCACAGCAACCAGAAGCGGAGCCACAAAGGGGAAGTTCACAAGGAGCCCAGACCTTCTGGGTGTCCCTATTTTCCAGGGATGTCCCTGATTTAGAAAAGCCGTCCTGGTTTCTGATTTGATCCCTGAATGTCCCACTTTTCCTTAGGATGTCCCTATTTTCATTGGAGAAATGTTGGAGGGTATAGAGTTATCCAACCCCCGAGCCGTCTGAAGGCAATCCTGAATAGGGAAGGGTTTTTTTAATGTATAATGTTTTATTATGTCTTTATATATGTTGGAAACCACCCAGAGTGACTGGGGCAACTCAGTATGATGTGTGGGGTATAAATAGTAAAATTATCATTGTGGAATGGGACACCCCTGTTTTCATCAGAGAACTATTGGAGGGTATGGGAGCCAGGTTATTTGTTGCAGGATGTCAGAGCTGGACTGTTGGAGCAGAGGGGCCAGTTCCCAAATGCCATTCTGACTGGGGTCAAAACCAATGAAGGAGCTGGGAGTCAGAAGAGGACAAGGGAAAGGGCTACCTGGAGCTCAGTGTGCTATGCAGGAGGAAGGCACCTAGTTCAAATCCTGACATCTCAAGATTTCTGTCTGAAACCCTGGGGAACTACTGTCAATTGCTGCAGATAAATTGAGTTAGGTCAGAGTTGTGGAATGTTTTTTCTGCTGAGGGTAATCTGTTGGGGGCCACATCTTTTCCCATCTCTGCTGCCCTTTTCATTCCTCTTCCCTTGCTTCCCCAGTGGCCTAGTGAGGGAGGGACGAGAAATCAGACCAAGAGCCACAATAAATTAGTCCTTTATGGTTTGTTCTCAGTAAGCCGAGGACAGACAGTTTGTGCCAATTTGGGAGAATTTGGTGTTCCTCTTGGACTAAAATGAGAGACCTAAAACAGAAGGAGGTGGAGTGCTAGAAACGAGATGGTCTGGTTTAGTGGACTTTGTTGCAGCCAACGGTGCTAATTTTCATTCTGAAACAATTGGTTTTTCATTATAAAATGATGGTGTGGTGTGTAAGTGTGACCTCTGCTGGGCCTCACTAATGTGATCTTGCCACTGGGCAGGCCGGAAGTTCCATCAGGGCCTGGACTCATGTGCTGCAATGTGCAAAGTGAGAGCATTGGCACAGAATTCGGTACCTGACACAGGAACTCAAAATTCAGCATGTCACCTCCTTCGGCTGGCAGGTTTGAGACTGGCAGGACCAGACTTTATATATATTCTTGCTTAACGCTGGTGCTGCACTACATTTTCAGTGGTGAAAATGAGTTGATACTGTAATTCTTGGAGTGCCACAATGACATTTGTAATGCTAGAATTGCAGGGACCCAATGCTGCTTCTTGGCGCCCGGGGTGGGAGGGTGCACACACATGCGCCTGGTGGGGTGGAGCACACTTGCCCAGCCCTTGCCGCCGCCGCAGCCAAAAGGTGCTCCTACACCGGGTGGGAGGAGGCTGTGGAGGGTGCTCTTCACCCTCCACTCTCACCAAGCCCCCACCACTGGAGCCAGGCAGGGTGTAGGGATTTTTGCAGGGGCCGGGGGTGCCTGGTTCATGCCCCCCCAATTATGTACCCGGGGCCACAGCCCCTCTGCCCCCCATGCTACGCCACTGTAGAATTGTATCAGAATAAGCTCCACCTGGGGATGCGGGTGGCGCTGTGGGTTAAACCACAGAGCCTAGGGCTTGTCGATCAGAAGGTCGGTGGTTCGAATCCCCGCAACGGGGTGAGCTCCCGTTGCTTGGTCCCTGCTCCTGCCCACCTAGCAGTTCGAAAGCACGTCAAAGTGCAAGTAGATAAATAGGTACCGCTCCGGCGGGAAGGTAAACGGCGTTTCTGTGCGCTGCTCTGGTTCGCCAGAAGCAGCTTAGTCATGCTGGCCACATGACCCGGAAGCTGTACACTGGCTCCCTCGGCCAATAAAGCGAGATGAGCACCGCAACCCCAGAGTCGGCCATGACTGGACCTAATGATCAGGGGTCCCTTTACCTTTACCTTAAGCTCCACCTTAAACTCAAAGCCTTTCTACATAGCCCAGAGAGATTACGAAAGTTCAAGGACCCATTTCCAGCTAGTCAAAAACAATATACAATGTAGGGCTGGTGCGGGTTGTGGCCTGGGCAGAGGCCAAAGGGCCTGACAGAGACAGCTGGTGTCAAAGAGCAAGCAGTTAGTAAATCACACAGTTCAAAGTTGGAGTTAACTCTTTATTAGCCAAAACACCACCTTCACAGACTTGGCTGAGTGTCAGGCTTACTGAGCACAGCAGCTCATCTCTGGTTTTACCCCATGAATCAGCTGCTGAGGCTGAAAGTTGGCACCTCCCCACAGCCATCTAAGTCACCTCCTCTTCAGCACTTTTTCCAAGCCATCAGAGGCTGCGCCTACATGAAGCCAACCTCTCATCCACCCTTTTCATGCCTCTTCTGGTTCTGGGAGACAAGGCAGGAGGAGAGCTAGTCATGGCAGGTGGGGGAGACACCTGTGACTCTTCACTAGCCTGATTCATCTCTGCCTCTTGGTCTCTCTCCCCCCACTTGTTGGCTTCAGCTTCTGCCTCTGCCTCCTCTCTGCCACTGGCTCCCCCAGCTCACTATGCCCTGCTATTTCTTCAGTTTCCAACACCACCTCTTCCCAGTCTTCTCCCTCTTCTCCCTCTGACCACTCATCTTTGTCCCACCTCCAGTCCCCCACCTCTGAGCCTTCTTC